GTGCTAAAAATCTCTGGATCCGGACAGGCCGCCATTGGAACCTAAACTTGGCAACGTTTAACGCTAAAACCTTATCTAGTGAGGGAAGTCTAGCTGTACTATTCGAGGAGCTAGAGGGTGTTAAATTGGATATAATAGAACTCAGTGAGGTTAGGAGAACTATACGGTTCTACAGAATGGGCACGTCCTTTGCTACAGGGGCTTGGCAGAGAGAAGAGAACTGGGAGTGGGGTTCCTAATTCACAGAAACATAGCTGGCAACATAGAGGAATACTATAGCATTAATGAAAGGGTGGTAGGTATCGTAATTAAACTGAATAAAAGATACAAGATGAAGGTAGTACAGGCTTACGCGCCTACATCCGGCCATGATGACGCTTCAGTTGAGAGCTTATATGAAGACGTGGAATCGGCAATGAGTAAGGTAAAAACACAGTATACTATAGTGATGGGCGACTTTAATGCAAAGGTAGGGAAGAAGCAGGCTGGAGACCAGGCAGTAGGAGATTATGGCATCGGTACTAGTAACGCCAGAGGAGAGCTACTAGTAGAATTCGCAGAACGCAATAATTTACGGATTTTGAATACCTTCTACCGAAAACGAGAAAACCGCAAGTGGACATGGAGGAGCCCTAATGGCAAAAATAAGAACGAAATAGACTTTATAATGAGTGCACACCCTGGAATCGTGCAGGATGTGGAAGTGATTGGCAAGGTACGATGCAGTGACCATAGAATGGTACGGTCTCAAATTCGCCTAGACTTGAAGAAGGAACGGCAGAAACTGATACGCAAGAAGCCAATCAATCAGCTAGCACTGAGAGGGAAAGTACAGGAATTCAGAGTGTCGCTCTTAGTGCGGAAACCAACCTTAGCGTAGATACAATGAATGATAATCTGACGAGTATCATTACGGAGTGTGCAGTGGAAGTTGGAGGCAGGGTAGTTAGACAGGACACTGGCAAGCTTTCCCAGGAAACGAAGAACCTAATTAAGAAGCGTCAAATCATGAAAGTGTCAAGTACAACAGACAAAATAGAACTGGCAGAGCTTTCGAAGTTGATTAATAGACGTAAGGTATGCGATGTAAGAAGGTATAACATGGAGAGAATTGAACACGCTCTGAAAAACGGAGGAAGTGTCAAAGCATTGAAAAGGAAACTTGGGATAGGCAAAAGTCGGATGTATGCACTAAGGGACAAAGAAGGCAAAATAACTACCAATATGGATAGGATAGTTAAAATAGCGGAGGAGTTTACAGAGATCTGTACAGTAGCCGAGACAACCACGACCTTAATACTATAAGAACTAACAGTAACCCAGATGACACCCCACCAGTAAGGATAGAAGAAGTCAGAAAAAGCTTTGGAGAGCATGCAAAGGGGCAAAGCTGCTGGTGAGGATCAGGTAACATCAGATCTGCTGAAAGATGGAGGACAGGTTGTGTTAGAAAAACTAGCCACCCTGTTTACGAGGTGTCTCCTGACGGGAAGAGTACCAGAGTCTTGGAAGAACGCTAACATCATCTTAATACATGAGAAAGGAGATGACAAGGACTTGAAGAATTACAGGCCGATCAGCTTGCTCTCTGTAGTATACAAGCTAATTACAAAGGTAATTGCTAACAGAGTAAAGAAAACATTAGAATTCAATCAACCAAAGGAACAAGCAGGATTTCGAACAGGCTACTCAACAATTGACCTCATTCATACTATCAATCAGGTAATAGAGAAATGCTCAGAATATAACCAACCACTATACATAGCCTTCATAGATTACGAGAAGGCGTTTGATTCAGTAGAAATATCAGCCGTCATGCAAACACTGCGGAATCAGGGCGTAGATGAAGTATATATAAACATTCTGGAAGAAATGTACAGGGGATCAACTGCTACCATAGTGCTTCATAAAGAAAGCAACAGAATACCAGGGGACACAATTTCCCCAATGCTATTTACCGCGTGCTTACAGGAGGTTTTCAGAAGCCTAGAATGGGAACAGTTAGGGATAAGAGTCAATGAAGAATACCTTAGTAACCTGCGCTTCGCCGATGACATTGCATTGCTGAGTAACTCGGGGGACGAATTGCAACTCATGATTACGGAGTTAGACAAGGAGAGCAGAAAGGTGGGTCTTAAAATTAATCTGCAGAAAACGAAAGTAATGTACAACAACCTCGGCAAGGAGCAGCGCTTCGAGATAGGTAATAGTGCACTTGAAGTTGTAAAAGACTATGTCTACTTAGGGCAGGTAATAACCGCAGAGCCGAACCACGAGATTGAAGTAACTAGAAGAATAAGAATGGGGTGGAGCAGATTCGGCAAGCACTCTCAAATTATGACAGGTAGATTGCCACTATCCCTCAACAGGAAGGTATATAACAGCTGTATCTAGCCGGTACTTAGCTACGGAGCAGTAACCTGGAGACTTACAAAGAGGGTTCAGCTTAAATTGAGGACGACGCAGCGAGCAACGGAAAGAAAAATGGTAGGTGTAACCTTAAGAGACAAGAAAAGAGCAGAGTGGATTAGGGAACAAACGGGGGTTAAGGATATCATAGCTGAAATCAAGAAGAAGAAATGGACATGGGCAGGACATGTAGCGCGTAGACAGGATAAACGCTGGTCATTAAGGGTAACTGACTGGATTCCCAGAGAAGGGAAGCGGGTTAGGGGGAAACAGAAGGTTAGGTGGGCAGATGAGATTAAGAAGTTTGTGGGTATAAATTGGCAGCAGCAAGCACAGGACCGGGTTAACTGGCGGAACATGGGAGAGGCCTTTGTCCTGCAGTGGACGTAGTCAGGCTGATGATGATGATGATATTCAAGCACGTGACAAGTACACAAAAATACGCTGTATACGTGGTTTGGTGCGAAGGGAAAAAAGCTGCATTTCACAGCTTGACTGGCCCCTTCACCCAGAAAAAAAATCTAAACTACAAATTTACAAAAAGTTACAGAAATTACAGGCAGTGGAAAGCGACAATACAAAAAGAAACAAGCATGTGGCCCATGACAGCAAATAATAGAATCACAACTCTAAAATACACACAAAAATATTCATAACAAAGCAATGCATGAAAGAATAAAAACTGAATAACCATTAGAGAAATCACCCAAACATTCTTTTACAACACAATCAGCACATCCGATTTAAAATTTCAGTTTTAGACAATATACGCAGATTATCAGTTGTTAGTTTCCATTTGTTCATCACACTTGAAATTGCTTCCCAGAAACTGGTCGCCCGGCTTCCCGCGGCACAGGAACGGGTTGCACGGCCACTGAAGGTCACTCCCGCCAACACCGCCTCCAGCCCCGCTAACCCCTTCCTTCAGAGACTGGCCTCCGCTCCTATGGAGAGAGCCTCCACCCCGTGACGTAGGTGCCTTTGTGAACACATGACATACGGCCTCGTAACTTAGTCGGTGTTGGCGTGCCTGCCGCTGTTTGTGTGAGAGAGGTTGGTAGACGGATCCCGACGGACGCCTGACATGGCCCGACTAAGAAACGCATTGGTATTTAAAAGGTTATTAGGGAGTTTTAGTGCTGGGTACGCATTCTCTTGGGGCCTTGCGGGCTTGGGAGCGCGCGGCGTTGCGTGCCCAACCCATACCCAACCGGAATGCCTTTTAGTTGGCGCCAAAGTGGCACGCACGCAAACGCAAGCCGCATGAAGTTCACACGCACTCGCAGAGCCATAGCGTATTGTCGCGTAAGTATCATTTAAGTATTTTTATGATTTAAAATGTTAAATTAAACATACATAGTGATCAGGACACTTTTTTTTATTGTGTACAGTAATCTGGTATACGCAAAAAAAAAGTGAAATACAAGGTTACTGTAACGACAGTGTCGACATCTTGTGACACTTCGTGCAACCGCAGTCATGAGCATGTTAGCTTACGCGTAATGTTTTTGAGGTGAAAATGAATAAAAAGGTTACTCATTTGTAGTATTGTCGCTGCGCAGTTTTTGCACCAGATGTACAATGCACAATGTTTCTGCAATAACAAAGTTGTGGTTGTCTGTTTCACTATGGCCGCGCTAGATGGCGCCACCTATTCAATTGGTCTGGGGCTGGCATATGTCTTTTGGTTTCTATGTTCCAGGCCATTCTAGCTTTGGAAATCTGGCTGAAACCGTGTAATCGCTATAAGTGCTCGCACTTTGGCTTATTTTAACTCGACGGCTAGAGTATCCGCAGTGCGGATACCGTGAGTTCTTGCGAAGGTGGACCGCGCTGACGCATGGCCCCATCGCCCCAGCGATCTTGCGACGCATCTGTTTGGGGTTTCTTGCGACGCATCTGCGATCTTGCGACGCATCTGTTTTGGGTCCTGCGTAGGCAAGCCGCTTGGGTACCCAGCACTAAAACTCGCTATTAGCAAACCTTCTATAATGCTATCCACAAAAGAGTTATCATTCTTGCGGGGAGTGATGTTCAAAGGACGCACGCTTTCAACTGCATGTACGCGCGCATGGGTAATTCTGCACATTTTAACACTCGCATACGTTCATTCGAAATAAAATTCACTTGTTAGTCAGCGCCTGCCTTCGTGTGTCCATCCTTCATCTGTGTCGTCGCTGTGCGCGCTTTGAGCTCTTATGGGTTGTTTTGGGCAGATGAAGGCTCCGTGTGTGGCGGCGGTTCGGTGGCGATGGCTGCGCTCAACGTGTTCTCTGGTTCTTCCCGTCAAGTTGCCATGTTGCCATCAAGTTTCCTGCATACGTTTCTCGTAAACTTGAAAATGCTTTCCCTGAATGTTTCAGTCTTTTAAAATTGCAACAGTGTACTTGATGTTTTAGGTCACTTTAATCAAAAGAGGAAGATTGACATTAGGAGCAACTCGCAGCTGAAGTCACGGCATTTTATTTCACAACACACCTCATCAACCCTTGCCCACTTTAGCGCAGCCGGCTTTTACTGATGGGATTATTTACTCCTTGAAACGTGTTTGACGGAAAGCGTTGTACCGTCTAGCAACGCTGGGCAGCTTACATGTGTGACTCAAGATGGCCGATCTCTTCCGAGGCTCCGACAGCGATTCCGACGATGTTGGTCAGCTTAAATTGAACGAAGACTATGCCAAGAACTACAACAAGTGGAGAGAGAAAGAAGAACTTCAGAAATGTTAGTAGTGACAGCTTATTTATTTGTAACCGCTGCGGGTTGGGCGTCATCGCTCGCACGTTTACACACGACCACGCTTGTAAGCAAACCATGTGGTCGGGTGACGTGAGTGCGCGTTCTAGTTCTGCTACCGTTTACCTGCTTTTTTTTTTTCTGTACTGTTTCACTAATTTATACATTTTTCTAGTGAAGGACAAGTATGGTGAGAACGTCGCATTGGATTCCTCTTCAAGTTCTTCGGAATCCGAGGACGAAGATGCCGAGGTAAATATTGGTTTGTTGTTTTACACCTCTGCAAAGAGACATATACTGTTGAACAATATTATGTGTGATATCGTAGTCGATAGTTCGACGGAATGCCGTCTGGTCAGGTAAAGGCATTGTTGAAAAAACAGGTCACTGACCAATGTCAAACAAAACAATGACGTTTCGGGACCCGTACGGGTCCCTTGTTCACAATGGAATGACGGCTGAGCAACAGGTTCTTATGTAACGTTGAGCGAATGACGCAAAGTCCGGGAGTACACGTGGTTTAGTGGGCCAGATGATCTATTGATTGTGTTACTTGTCGTCTGAATGATTAGTGATTCGAGGTTCAGTCTGGTTGTAAAATTCTTCTCCGTGGCCACGATGCGTGCGTTGTCCCAGCTTATCTCGTGGCCCGTCTTCTCGGCATGCTCTGCGAGTGCATTTGTCACTGTGTGGCCCTTGGCCACACAGTGACAAAAAAAAAAAAAAGTGAAAGTGAAACGTCAAAAAAGTGAAAAGTGAAACGTCATTGTTTTGTTTGACATTGGTCAGTGACCTGTTTTTTCAACTATGTGTGATATCGCAACTATTCAATCATTAGAAAAAGACTTCTTGCTATTTCGCTTTCGAAATTGGGTTTAAGTTTAACCGCAGCAACTGTTCTAAACTTCCGTGTCATCGTTTTGGGTACGGTGGTAGAATCACCGTGGTTTTGGGACATTGTCAACGGAGACATATTTGGTGCTGTTTGCAAATTTATTCAAACCTCTTAACGTATTATATTACAATATCTACTTTATATAGTACTCGTGAAGTAATTTCAAAGTGTGTTGAAATGCAAGACACATTCGAAATTGTTTGGGCCTGGTAAACACGGCTGTCGGGTCTGCACCAATTTCAGAAATTCGTTATTATAACAAGTTACTCTTTTTGCTTTAATTTCTCTTTGTGTAACGTTTTCTTGGCTAATTACACAGAGTGGGAATGTGCCAGCTTTCAGGCCTTGCTTGTCTGGCCTTGCTTTACTACCTTTCGTAATTAATTTTTTAGGTGGGAGAATTCGTTAACACTTAGTTTTCTTCGTGCTGCCTCATTTTTGACAGGAACTCACCCCGACGTTCGAGAAAAAGTTCTTGGAGACCCTCAGTGCCCTTAAAAGCAAGGACCCAAAGATTTACGACAAAAATACAGTGTTTTTTGAGCCTACAGGTAACAAAATTTTCTTTTTTGACCGAGTTTATGTTTGCTTTCACATACTAACTTCACAGAAAACCAACGGCGTAGGGTCAGTCAATTGTAGTATTAACCTCGTAGGGATCTGAAAATCGGTCTCGAATAGTTGATGGGCTACGTGCTTCTCAGGTAAAAAACAGCGTAAACACACAAAGTGTCTTGCATAAAAACGACTTTACACACCCTGTGTGTTTGGGCTGTTTCACCCTGGAGATATGTACCAACTAGGCTCAAATTAAGTTTTGTTGAAGCTATGCGCTTGATTGCTGCTTACTGTATCGATCCATTCATAAGCATTTCGTAAAGGAAGTTCAGCGATTTCCCGTTGCAGCGGAGCGAGATACTCTCGTCCGCAGCAGTCTGTAGGTGAGAAAAAAAATTTCTGAAACTAAAGTGCTGCACTGAAAGCAATAATACATTTTGGCAATATTAAAAGTTCCTTTGTTGCATTACTCACTTATATCGTGTGTTCCTTCACATATGCACCCGCCAGAGTTCAGCTACTCTCCACACTGATGCCCTCCGTATCGTGCCTCGCGAGTTTGGCTGTGTTTCGTCTGTGCGTGCAGTTGTCACCATATTTGTGTTTGTCTATGAGAGGAATGACTGACAGGGCTGCATCATAGTCACCAGCTGATGACACAGCATAGTATACAGAAGACAAAATGTGCACTCATGAGGCAGGAAAACACAAGAAGTTTCGTACACGGGCTACAAAACAACTATGTTGTTGAGCACAGTACAATTGTAAACAAACGTAGGGTTAGGCACAAGGTGGCCAGCATCGCTGCATTTAGCAAATGCGTTTTCATTTGAATTAATCTTTAATGTTTTGTTCACTTCAGACCTACTAATAGTGTATTTTTGTAAAAACTGCCTAACGAAGATTTACAGAAAAAGTAACTAGAAATGAAATTAGAATGTTTCTGTGAAAATTAAACAGCACCGTGTGAGCCGTTAGCAGCAATTATTAGGTTGTCATTGCCGTGTGACACTGTCACAGCTTTCATCTCCATCAAATCCCTAGGGGAGATTTACGTTGACGAAGTCTAACAGTTTGGTGGTGGCCGTGTGACAGGCGTATTAAACAGGTGGTGACTGTCGTAGTGAAATTATCTACAACTACATTCAGGTCATGTTTGGGAAGTGTTGGCAGTCCCTTTCTGGGTTTGCTGAGTATATTTGTCACATAAGCACGGGTCCCATATAGTGAGCTGCCTTTAACCCCTAAATGTTTGACTAAGAAATCTTAGCGCCACAACACGGAGACAAAAGAAAGAAACGTAGACAACACGAGCGCTAAACTTCAAACCAAGTTTATTAGGAAACACACATGAATATATACGAAATCAAATCTCAGAAATCTCACGCCTTCTTTTTTTACACATATAATGTTATACAATGTCAAACAAAACTAAAAAATGTAATATCAGGGAATAAACAGGTAAACGCGCATGTGTAAAAGGAACCAAGAAAAAAAATTTAGAAAAACTTAACAGCCCCCCGAAAAACCCTACAAACGAAAAATATAATACCAACTGCGCAGGCTTAACTCGGTGAAACTACGAAAACGTGCTCATTAGGAATGAAAACTCTTTATCGTGAAGGAGTACAGACGGTTGACTCACGCACTTATCGCCATGTTTTCGGATGATACAGGCCTCAACTAATTCTCGGGTTAGCTGCTCTCTGTGACGGAATAGCACAGCTGTTTGTTCGAACATTGGAGTGCAGCCACACTGACGGCAATGTAATGCCAAGTGGGATGACGGTGTGCCTTTCAAAGAGCTGTGGTGCTCGCGTAGACGGATATTGAGACACCGCCCAGATTGGCCCACGTAAACGTGTCCGCACGAAAAGGGCGTCTCGTATACCACCCCTTTTACACAAGACACGAAACGAATGCCATGTCTCATTGTGCACTTGCCTTTTTTACCACTTTTTTTATTTTCAAGGTGCTGCAGTCTCGGGCAAATATCCTTCAGTTTACTTTTGGCTGAAAACACCACGTTGACGCCAAAGCGTGCCGCCACTCTCTTAAACCGGTGGGACACTCCGTGAATATAAGGGATTACCGAGAAAGGTCTGCTCCCTTTGCATCGTTCCGTCGGCGCCAGCATACCACCTGCTCTTACGGTTTTAAGCAATCTTTCACTAACAGCGGCTATAACAGCATCAGGGTACCCTGCCTGCCGCAACTTAACTGCTTGTTCACACATGCTTTGTCTAATCAAATGCGGGCATGACTTTGAGATGGCAGACCGGATACAGGAGCTGGCTATTCCGTTCTTTACAAGTCTGGAGTGACCAGACTGGTAGTCGAGCAAGCCCTTTTGAGACCTTGGTTTATATCGCCAGCATATACTATCAGGGTTAAATGCTAACTGGAGGTCTAAATACTGCAAAGCATCGTTCCGGGGTACCTCACATGTGAACGTCAAACCGTGCCCTTGCTCCCTGAACACCTTCATTACATTAATCATTTTTTCGATAAAAACACACCTGTCCACGAAAACCAAGTAATCGTCAACATAACGAAACACTTTGATTGCCAGATCAACAAGACTACCCTGTATAGCCCTGTCCACCTTTGCCAAAAATATTGTGCTCAGAATAGGCGCGACACACGAACCGATACATACGCCAGATTTCTGAGCAAATACTTTCCCTTTCCAAGTGACAAGTGTCGCTTCCAGGTAACACCTCAGTACCTCGAGGAACCCCTCAACTGACACACCTGAACGAGAGGTGAACTCATGTTCGTCCTCTTGATTCCCAATACACTCCTTTACACTCTGCAGAAGAGGGGCTTGCGGTAAGGAGTAGTAAAGATCCTCTATGTCGAGGCTAAATGCCCTTAAACCTCCCGAGTCGTTGTTCCTAAGAAAATCTACGAGCATATCCGAACTGGCCACTTGAAAAGGGTCAACCACACCCAGAGATTCAAGGTTCTTTTGAAGATATCGGGACACTACTTGAAGCCAAGTGTTCCTTTCAGAAACTATGGTACGGAAGGGAACGTCAGGCTTATGGGTCTTAGCGGTAAAGAAAACATCTAGAGTATCACCCATTTCTTTCTTTACCTTATTGACCAGTTTATCTAAACTTAGGCTTTTGAGCAGTTCCACTGCTTGCTTTTTTACCTTGGAAGGGTTGTGCGACACTTCTCGAAAATTCTTGGCAATAGCCACGCTTCCTTTCTCGGAAAACAATCCACGAGTCAGAACCACGAAGAACCCTTCCTTGTCGGACACTACACAAGTGAGGCCAGAGGAATGCAAGAAATCAACAACCGAAGACATGACAATATCATGCACTCGCCTTGGTCTATGCTTAAGCAGAACATCGGTGCACTCCGCCACACAAGTAGTCCTGCTGTCCTCGGGCACTCTTCGAGCCACGGACCTCGAAACCGATACCAGTTCTGCCGGGCGAAGGGCCGGTTCCACACAAAACTTGGGACCTTTACTCAACACATCCAAGTGCTTGACTGGCACATCACATTCACTCAAGTTGAGCACCTTGGTCTCCGAAGTTGCCTTAGTTCTTGTTCTTGCAGGAAGCGTGGGTCTGACCTGGTTCCATAGCCACTCAGTAACTTGGTTGCAAAGCTTCAGCCACAGATTATATTTGTAGTTCACATGGGGCGGGCTTAAATCCTGTTGACAAGTCAAACGCAAACAATCCTTGAGGAAACGAACTTGATGCCACCATTCCGAGCACAGCAAACGGCACATCCTTCTGGAATGTCCAGCCGAAGGACGCAACACGCCAACGAGCACCTGAAGATCGGGGGGACACGTAGACGTCTTAGCATACCAAGACGCCGTCCGGGCTCGACATATATACACTGCGATCAGTGACGTGAGAAGGCTGGGATTAGAGAGCAAAACGTTAGAACAAATAACAGAGCCCTTCGTACTAGAAATAAGACTGACGAGTGCGGCGAGTTGGGCGGGTTGGTAACGATGCATGACTAAGAAATCTTAGCGCCACAACACGGAGACAAAAGAAAGAAACGTAGACAACACGAGCGCTAAACTTCAAACCAAGTTTATTAGGAAACACACATGAATATATACGAAATCAAATCTCAGAAATCTCACGCCTTCTTTTTTTACACATATAATGTTATACAATGTCAAACAAAACTAAAAAATGTAATATCAGGGAATAAACAGGTAAACGCGCATGTGTAAAAGGAACCAAGAAAAAAAAAAAATTTAGAAAAACTTAACAGCCCCCCGAAAAACCCTACAAACGAAAAATATAATACCAACTGCGCAGGCTTAACTCGGTGAAACTACGAAAACGTGCTCATTAGGAATGAAAACTCTTTATCGTGAAGGAGTACAGACGGTTGACTCACGCACTTATCGCCATGTTTTCGGATGATACAGGCCTCAACTAATTCTCGGTGGTTGACCCTTTTCAAGTGGCCAGTTCGGATATGCTCGTAGATTTTCTTAGGAACAACGACTCGGGAGGTTTAAGGGCATTTAGCCTCGACATAGAGGATCTTTACTACTCCTTACCGCAAGCCCCTCTTCTGCAGAGTGTAAAGGAGTGTATTGGGAATCAAGAGGACGAACATGAGTTCACCTCTCGTTCAGGTGTGTCAGTTGAGGGGTTCCTCGAGGTACTGAGGTGTTACCTGGAAGCGACACTTGTCACTTGGAAAGGGAAAGTATTTGCTCAGAAATCTGGCGTATGTATCGGTTCGTGTGTCGCGCCTATTCTGAGCACAATATTTTTGGCAAAGGTGGACAGGGCTATACAGGGTAGTCTTGTTGATCTGGCAATCAAAGTGTTTCGTTATGTTGACGATTACTTGGTTTTCGTGGACAGGTGTGTTTTTATCGAAAAAATGATTAATGTAATGAAGGTGTTCAGGGAGCAAGGGCACGGTTTGACGTTCACATGTGAGGTACCCCGGAACGATGCTTTGCAGTATTTAGACCTCCAGTTAGCATTTAACCCTGATAGTATATGCTGGCGATATAAACCAAGGTCTCAAAAGGGCTTGCTCGACTACCAGTCTGGTCACTCCAGACTTGTAAAGAACGGAATAGCCAGCTCCTGTATCCGGTCTGCCATCTCAAAGTCATGCCCGCATTTGATTAGACAAAGCATGTGTGAACAAGCAGTTAAGTTGCGGCAGGCAGGGTACCCTGATGCTGTTATAGCCGCTGTTAGTGAAAGATTGCTTAAAACCGTAAGAGCAGGTGGTATGCTGGCGCCGACGGAACGATGCAAAGGGAGCAGACCTTTCTCGGTAATCCCTTATATTCACGGAGTGTCCCACCGGTTTAAGAGAGTGGCGGCACGCTTTGGCGTCAACGTGGTGTTTTCAGCCAAAAGTAAACTGAAGGATATTTGCCCGAGACTGCAGCACCTTGAAAATAAAAAAAGTGGTAAAAAAGGCAAGTGCACAATGAGACATGGCATTCGTTTCGTGTCTTGTGTAAAAGGGGTGGTATACGAGACGCCCTTTTCGTGCGGACACGTTTACGTGGGCCAATCTGGGCGGTGTCTCAATATCCGTCTACGCGAGCACTACAGCTCTTTGAAAGGCACACCGTCATCCCACTTGGCATTACATTGCCGTCAGTGTGGCTGCACTCCAATGTTCGAACAAACAGCTGTGCTATTCCGTCACAGAGAGCAGCTAACCCGAGAATTAGTTGAGGCCTGTATCATCCGAAAACATGGCGATAAGTGCGTGAGTCAACCGTCTGTACTCCTTCACGATAAAGAGTTTTCATTCCTAATGAGCACGTTTTCGTAGTTTCACCGAGTTAAGCCTGCGCAGTTGGTATTATATTTTTCGTTTGTAGGGTTTTTCGGGGGGCTGTTAAGTTTTTCTAAATTTTTTTTCTTGGTTCCTTTTACACATGCGCGTTTACCTGTTTATTCCCTGATATTACATTTTTTAGTTTTGTTTGACATTGTATAACATTATATGTGTAAAAAAAGAAGGCGTGAGATTTCTGAGATTTGATTTCGTATATATTCATGTGTGTTTCCTAATAAACTTGGTTTGAAGTTTAGCGCTCGTGTTGTCTACGTTTCTTTCTTTTGTCTCCGTGTTGTGGCGCTAAGATTTCTTAGTCATGCATCGTTACCAACCCGCCCAACTCGCCGCACTCGTCAGTCTTATTTCTAGTACGAAGGGCTCTGTTATTTGTTCTAACGTTTTGCTCTCTAATCCCAGCCTTCTCACGTCACTGATCGCAGTGTATATATGTCGAGCCCGGACGGCGTCTTGGTATGCTAAGACGTCTACGTGTCCCCCCGATCTTCAGGTGCTCGTTGGCGTGTTGCGTCCTTCGGCTGGACATTCCAGAAGGATGTGCCGTTTGCTGTGCTCGGAATGGTGGCATCAAGTTCGTTTCCTCAAGGATTGTTTGCGTTTGACTTGTCAACAGGATTTAAGCCCGCCCCATGTGAACTACAAATATAATCTGTGGCTGAAGCTTTGCAACCAAGTTACTGAGTGGCTATGGAACCAGGTCAGACCCACGCTTCCTGCAAGAACAAGAACTAAGGCAACTTCGGAGACCAAGGTGCTCAACTTGAGTGAATGTGATGTGCCAGTCAAGCACTTGGATGTGTTGAGTAAAGGTCCCAAGTTTTGTGTGGAACCGGCCCTTCGCCCGGCAGAACTGGTATCGGTTTCGAGGTCCGTGGCTCGAAGAGTGCCCGAGGACAGCAGGACTACTTGTGTGGCGGAGTGCACCGATGTTCTGCTTAAGCATAGACCAAGGCGAGTGCATGATATTGTCATGTCTTCGGTTGTTGATTTCTTGCATTCCTCTGGCCTCACTTGTGTAGTGTCCGACAAGGAAGGGTTCTTCGTGGTTCTGACTCGTGGATTGTTTTCCGAGAAAGGAAGCGTGGCTATTGCCAAGAATTTTCGAGAAGTGTCGCACAACCCTTCCAAGGTAAAAAAGCAAGCAGTGGAACTGCTCAAAAGCCTAAGTTTAGATAAACTGGTCAATAAGGTAAAGAAAGAAATGGGTGATACTCTAGATGTTTTCTTTACCGCTAAGACCCATAAGCCTGACGTTCCCTTCCGTACCATAGTTTCTGAAAGGAACACTTGGCTTCAAGTAGTGTCCCGATATCTTCAAAAGAACCTTGAATCTCTGGGTGTGGTTGACCCTTTTCAAGTGGCCAGTTCGGATATGCTCGTAGATTTTCTTAGGAACAACGACTCGGGAGGTTTAAGGGCATTTAGCCTCGACATAGAGGATCTTTACTACTCCTTACCGCAAGCCCCTCTTCTGCAGAGTGTAAAGGAGTGTATTGGGAATCAAGAGGACGAACATGAGTTCACCTCTCGTTCAGGTGTGTCAGTTGAGGGGTTCCTCGAGGTACTGAGGTGTTACCTGGAAGCGACACTTGTCACTTGGAAAGGGAAAGTATTTGCTCAGAAATCTGGCGTATGTATCGGTTCGTGTGTCGCGCCTATTATGAGCACAATATTTTTGGCAAAGGTGGACAGGGCTATACAGGGTAGTCTTGTTGATCTGGCAATCAAAGTGTTTCGTTATGTTGACGATTACTTGGTTTTCGTGGACAGGTGTGTTTTTATCGAAAAAATGATTAATGTAATGAAGGTGTTCAGGGAGCAAGGGCACGGTTTGACGTTCACATGTGAGGTACCCCGGAACGATGCTTTGCAGTATTTAGACCTCCAGTTAGCATTTAACCCTGATAGTATATGCTGGCGATATAAACCAAGGTCTCAAAAGGGCTTGCTCGACTACCAGTCTGGTCACTCCAGACTTGTAAAGAACGGAATAGCCAGCTCCTGTATCCGGTCTGCCATCTCAAAGTCATGCCCGCATTTGATTAGACAAAGCATGTGTGAACAAGCAGTTAAGTTGCGGCAGGCAGGGTACCCTGATGCTGTTATAGCCGCTGTTAGTGAAAGATTGCTTAAAACCGTAAGAGCAGGTGGTATGCTGGCGCCGACGGAACGATGCAAAGGGAGCAGACCTTTCTCGGTAATCCCTTATATTCACGGAGTGTCCCACCGGTTTAAGAGAGTGGCGGCACGCTTTGGCGTCAACGTGGTGTTTTCAGCCAAAAGTAAACTGAAGGATATTTGCCCGAGACTGCAGCACCTTGAAAATAAAAAAAGTGGTAAAAAAGGCAAGTGCACAATGAGACATGGCATTCGTTTCGTGTCTTGTGTAAAAGGGGTGGTATACGAGACGCCCTTTTCGTGCGGACACGTTTACGTGGGCCAATCTGGGCGGTGTCTCAATATCCGTCTACGCGAGCACCACAGCTCTTTGAAAGGCACACCGTCATCCCACTTGGCATTACATTGCCGTCAGTGTGGCTGCACTCCAATGTTCGAACAAACAGCTGTGCTATTCCGTCACAGAGAGCAGCTAACCCGAGAATTAGTTGAGGCCTGTATCATCCGAAAACATGGCGATAAGTGCGTGAGTCAACCGTCTGTACTCCTTCACGATAAAGAGTTTTCATTCCTAATGAGCACGTTTTCGTAGTTTCACCGAGTTAAGCCTGCGCAGTTGGTATTATATTTTCGTTTGTAGGGTTTTTCGGGGGGCTGTTAAGTTTTTCTAAATTTTTTTTCTTGGTTCCTTTTACACATGCGCGTTTACCTGTTTATTCCCTGATATTACATTTTTTAGTTTTGTTTGACATTGTATAACATTATATGTGTAAAAAAAGAAGGCGTGAGATTTCTGAGATTTGATTTCGTATATATTCATGTGTGTTTCCTAATAAACTTGGTTTGAAGTTTAGCGCTCGTGTTGTCTACGTTTCTTTCTTTTGTCTCCGTGTTGTGGCGCTAAGATTTCTTAGTCATGCATCGTTACCAACCCGCCCAACTCGCCGCACTCGTCAGCCCTAAATGTTGTTCCAAGTTTATCAATTTCATTGCCAAACCCTGGCTTCTCTGGTCTTCTTCCTTTTTAACTGCACTGTTCTTTTGTATTCGCGCTGTTGTGGTAATTTGTGCGCTACACTTTAAAAGTCATTTTTGTGTATGTGCATGTATATACCTACCTTGTAAGTGACGTCAGTTTCTTCCTTATGTTCGCCACTACTCAGCTCACAGGGACATACATCTCAGTGACCACGCCGTATTTATGTTCGCACGGTGAATCGTTTGCGAGTGTGCATGTTTTGATCATTTTTTTAGGCTTATGACAAAGGAGGATTATTCAGGGCATTGTGCAGCCTGCAGCAAAGCAGTGTATAGTGGTGAACTTGAATCCTTTGTGCTGCAGTGTTCTTGTCCGTGGTGTCTATATAAAGAATGAAACAACTTTGCACGAGCCTTAGAAACATAACTTGCACTCTTATGAAGTGCACACACACGTATGTTCACTCTCTTGTCGTCCTTTCTGTTTATGTACACATAAGCCACCTGCTCTGCTTCTCGGACAGTTCTTTTTTGCAGCCGCATGTGTTTGTGACCCCTTTTGGCAAACAGTACGTCCCATTGTCTGGTCCTTTTCTTTTTAATTTCATTTGCCCTTACTTCTTGTGCGGCACTCAAATATAACACGAATCACCGTCGTGACCTACGTCGTTGGCAGGAACTGTAAGAGCCACACAACTTGATTCGGTGTCGTCTGCTGCGATGTGCTCGGCACTGGTGGTGTTCGTTGAGATTATATCACCAAGTTCTGCCATGTGACCTACTTGAAATTTATGTATACATATACTGTGTTGTACTATTTGCTTGTCTTTGACTACTTCGTGAGCACAAGGTGTCATTATTGCACATGTAACCCATATTTTTTGTATCTCACTGATTGAAATTACGCGTGTCAATCTGCCTGCCTGATCGGCACTGCTTTCTGAGTGAGCGGTAAGCACTTCAAATTCAGCCATTGCGGCTACACCGGTGACATATTTTATTGAGTCAGAAATGCTGGAGGCCCACGCACTTTTAATTTGTTTATTTATTCAGACATACTGTGGACGAACATTTCGGTCCAAGCAGGAGAGGCAAAAGAAACATCAATTGAATTTTAACAGCAACAATAAAACGCATTGATGTGCTAAAACTGACCACATGTCTGTGAAACAGCTAGAAGATTGTTAGACATTTGAACACTAAACACCGAAGGGACAATTTTCCAGTGATGCTGCAAAATTCTCAGTCGTGAAAATCTCCTGAGGCAGTGAATTTCTGTCATTAACCGTTCTGGGAAAATGAGTGTGTTTGTATGTGTCAGTTTGTTCAAATATGGGTGCCAAAGATAAATCACGCTCACTACGGGTTATTGTAGTAGTGGCTGGTTCTCCCAACAAGGTACATTTCATGCAACACTTCCCGACATAATTTTGTATAAAAATGTTAACGGACTCGCCTTTTTTCTTGTTTCTAAGAAAGGAATCTTGTGTAATTGCGTTTATGTACTAGCCAAGTAGAATGCTCGATACTTGTAAAAAATAAATCTAATATTCATACATTGTACTTTTTCAAGAAGTATGATATCTTTTTTATACTAGGGTCCCATATGACTGCAGCTATGTTCTAGTTTCGATATTAGGAAAGTTTTAAAAGCCAAAAGATTTATGCTAGACGGAGCTCCTTTCAACTTCCTTTCTAAAAAGTATAATTCACGAAGTGCTTTTGTGCGACTGTATGTACTGTCCAAGTAAGGTTGCTGCTGAGAGTAGTGCCTAAATATTTATGGTTGTCTACTTCTAGCACTGGACTACCATGAAGTATGTAGGGAAAAGGTGACATTGGAGAGGACCTAGAGATTTAGGTGTAGATTTTCAAGAAACTCAGGTGGTTGAAATTTTTGGAGCCCTCTGCTGTGGCACGTAAAACTGTAATTTATTATGTCATATTAAAAATGGAATCTCTATAATCGCCAAGGCACTTCACGTGTTGTAATGCATTTCACGTGTTGTAATGTGTAAGGCACTTCACGTGTTGTAATGCGATAGCCCAGGTGGTTGAGAGGTGACCATAGTTATGGGGCGAGAACAAACGAGGACACTATAACTATTGTCATGCCATACCAACTAGACCAAGCTAGCTGCCACACTTCTAGGTTGAGGGGTGTCGCAAAGTAATAAAAAACGAAGAGATCCAATGGGCCAATGGGTGAAGAGGCACTAGGTGTCGGTTTGCAGGACTGCAGCGGATGAATGTAGGGGATGCTTTTATTTCGTGGGGGGGGAAAAATCCGAATTTGATGACTGAAGTTGGGGGTGCGTTTATTATGCGAGTGCGTTCATTATGCGAGTAAATACTGTAATAATTTTATATCAGGGGTCGGCTTCCGTTTGAGGCAGAGTGCCAAGTTGCCTGAAGCAGACAGGAGTAGATGAATTGCTATTAATAGAATAAAAATCACGTTTACCTCTAGCACACTTGTCACAAATTTTCAGTTTACAAATATTAAAAGCCAGGAAAAAAAAACAAATCTTTTCATGTTAGTTTTGCTGCTGACTGTCCCTGGTCAAATCGCAAATATCTACATTAACCCCTTCTGTCGCAAATTATGATGTACTGTCTACGAATGTCTTGAATTCACATAGCATAATATCAGCATAATCATAACTTCAGCGCACTCAGTATTGCAATCCAAAAAGGAAAAGCGGTACTTTCAACTTTGGTCCTGAAACGTGGAATGTCGAAAGGCTTGTTGAACATTGTTGTACTTTCACCAAAATTATCGGCTAGAGTCTTACGCAGCATACTGAAGTTAAGTCAATACGGCTATGGAGAACGTTCAGTTTATTCAATGAATAATGTGTCTTGCCCTGTTTTTGCCACAGGTTTACTCAGCTAGCGTAAAAAAGCTACGTACACGAATGTACATAGCTACATGCCAAAAGTTGGGGGGTACTTATTGTTGGAAGTGATCTGAATTTTCCGACTGGATGTGATCTCTCCGTGTTCTTATCTAACTTCATCGAACTCTATTTGAGGTCGGAACTGCCATGTTAGCTTTCAGATAGGAAGTGAAGAGGGGAGGGGGTTGGGTTCTGACGAAGTGTCAGGGGGGGGGGGGGTCCCATATAGTCTTGTGGGCCACAGGTTTTGACTATGTGTGTGTTCATTGCACTTGTTGAACGCTGGTACTCCCACATCTTTGTTCTGTTTTTTACTACTGTGCTGTGTCCTGTGCCACAGGTGATGCAGGTGAGGGCGAGCCAGTTAAGGAAAAACAAAAAAAAGAAAAGCCCATGTTCCTGAAGGACTACAAAAGAAAGCTGATAATTGAGAAACAAGGGTAAGCATTTACAATGCAAGCTTTCTTTTTTTTATAACTAGGGCGTGATTCCTGATGTATTAACATAACATTATGAATTATATTCACTTTGGCCGCCACTGATGGGCTGGAGCTCAGCTAGTTATGTGCCCCCCGTTTCTGGTTTTTTTTTTTGCAACATCGTTTTATTGTCTTGAAGCTTTGACAACTTTCGACATAAATAAGAGCGGCAGCATGCATTTCACTGAAACAAATGCTGTCCTCTGAGATCCCTTTTTGGACGGTTGTATCAGAGGCCGTGCATGAACTCTGGTCACAACGACTTCGAATTAGGTTTAATGTGGCCTGGGAAATCGCTATGCATTACCTTGATTTGTTTTCAAACATCTGAACGTGTTAACATGCAAGTTTACATTTATGATGTCTGTCTAGGCATTCTGTTGGTCTACGTTTCATCCACTTTCCCTGTACACTGTGAATATGCTGGCAGGTTGTAGGCTAAAAGCTAAAAGATGCAGCCTAGACAATTGCTCGTTGGCTGCTTCGAATGACACCTATTCCCACAAGCCGTGGGATCCACTGAATTTTTTTTATTTTCGTGGCTGATGTCTTTTAAGTTTCCATCGTGTTTCGTATTGCAGCATCAGTCTGCCGCGGGGAAGCAGTGGTTATGGTGTTCGGGTTCAATTCTGGTCATGGCGCTTACATTTTGATTGAGTTGTAATGGTAGAGGCCTGTGTGCTGCGCCATGTCAGTAGATGTTAAAGAACACCAGACAGTCGAAATTTCCAGAGCTCTGGAAAAGCGCATAGTGATGTGTGAGCGGACACTGGAGTTAACACATTAAGGGATAACTCTAACATTTTCAGTTCTATTATAAATACTGTTTGAGAATGTTGACTTGATGAACTGTTCGTCTGTGTGTTATTTTGTATTGTTTACTTTTGCCTTTCTTTCTGTTTGATGCAGCATGCCGTCGGACGAGGAAGATGTCGAAGGAGATGCCGATCTATTGACCCAACATAAGCAGGGCCATTTTGCCACTGCTGCCGAAGAGGAACACCTGAAAAGAAGGTTTGTTCACTTTTTTGTTTTCATTAACCCTGTAATGCCCACAAGCAGTCGGCCTTAAATAAAATTGTGAGGAAACACACACCATTTTTAATCTTGTAGAGTTCATTTCAAGAAGAAAGGATTTAAATTCTATAGGAGGCATAACTCGGTACCATAACTTGGTTGACATCTGGTCTTTTTCCTTCTATGTACAATGCCATTACTTCCTGGCTAGACGAGATTTCGACCAAAATCGACCTCGGGCATAACCTAATTATAACTCATTAAAAGTAGTTACATTGACTGAATATGTAGCTGAGATAAACTTTATTATACGTAGTATTGTAGAATGATGACTATGCAAGCACAGGTCTTGCATAATGCTTTTATTGCTTTATTACTTGTCTTAGACAATATAGATAGGAGGTGTTTATAGGTATTGGGAGATAAAAATTTTTTATAAAGCTCTCTTGGCAATCAGGCTGCTACAACACTTACACACAAACTATACGTCAAGGTGAAGCATGCAAAATTATATTAACTGCCATGACACAGTCACCCACCACATCGTTATTTTCACTGAAGTATAGAAGCAGTGGGCCTATTGTGCCTGTACATGTATTAAAAATGGCCTGTAACAGAACATTTCATTGTAAAATGAGTTCTAGAAGTGACCGGTTGTAAACCCCGCCCACCGCCAGCAATCATCATTTTCTTATGGCGTGTCATGTGCTTCATGCAGTGGAGCCTTCGTCTGCTACCTAGCTTTCAGCCTCTGCAAATCACTCAGTTTTAAATGCCCTACTCAAGCCAGCTCCAATAGCCCCATTGTACATGCAGCTGACCACTAAACAATATTATTAGCTGGATTACAGGCATTTGCAAAACAAATGGCTTGTCAAGTCACGGGACGGTTGGCGCACTGCTATCTGCCTCTCGAGCCCCTCGCGTGTTCATGAAAATGCTCGTTTTAAATTAAGTTCTTGTCTAATTGTTCAGGTATATCAGTAGCTTGTTTGTGAACATCGAAGGATTAACCAGCATAACACAGATTATGAGGGAAAAATTGGGTGTCATGACCCTTATATTTGAACTGGTATAGTGCATTACGGGGAAGAAGAAACGGCCGAGCAGACCGACACAAGAGGACAGAGCGCTATGTCCTCTTGTGTCGGTCTGCTCGGCCGTTTCTTCTTCCCCGTAATGCACTATACCAGTTCAAGTACGACGAATCAACTCGCCCAATCTTCAACACTCATGACCCTTATAAAAATAGTACCACAAAAGAAAAACATAGGACTAGCGCTTGTCCTGTGTAGTTGCTATATTGTATATTGCTTTTCATTTTTGTTTTTTTACGCTTTCAGAAAATACAAGTCAGAGCCACACATTGCACGAAAAAAAAAAAAAGTTCTAGTCTGAAATGACAGTGTGGTCGCATTTGCAATGTGTAGGGCGTCGCGAGTCTTGATACTGCCATTGAAATTCGATGATGAATATTTTATATTACATTATGTTTGATGATTTCTAAAGTTGGAGTGAGTTCTTGCTTTGTGAATGTTCCTTTGTGAAAACTTTATGAATGTTGTTCTCATTGTTCTTACAAGATTTGTTTCAGCTATGCTTTACTAATTGATTGCTCACTAAGTACTTATGTCGCTTCTTGTATTGTGGTTTGTGCAGCTTCAAGGCTGCCCTCGCCGACTTCGATGACGACGAAGACGATGACGGGTCACTACTGAAGACAGCGAAGCACAGTGAGGAAGTAAAGGTGAGAAAGAGAGAAGAGGAAAGAGGATAAAATAAGGCGAGATGTACATCCTTAAAAATGTGTATTGAAAAGTTGGGCGAATTGCATGAAATTTAATACTCAGTCAGCTTTTTTTTTTCCACAGATTTGGAATATTTTTGTAAATTTTTAATAGCTTTGTGAGAACAAAAGATGTGCCATATTTAAAAGCATATTTGTTGCGCATATTTTTAGCAACTTTGTCAAATTAGAAAAAAAAACACAAAAACAAAGTGCACGGCAAGATTTCCAAGAAGCTTGTCTAATTGGTGATGCTAATTATTATTTTATAATGTTGTTCACCAAATTACAGTTATGATTATCAGAAATAGTATATGGGAAAAATTTTCATATTTGTGTCTATTTATTTTGCACTCGAAGTTCATTGAAAACAGCCAGATTATCATCACTGGCTAAGCCAGCTCTCTGGTATTCGTCTATGTTTCTTTGTGCGATTAATTATGACAACTTGGCAATGCAAGCATGTGCTTGTTTATGTACCTTATTACTTAGTCTCATTTACTTCTGCTGCGAAATTTTCACAAAAGTATATATACCAACTAGCCTGCCTATCAACCTCTTTGTTTGTATTTTTGACTAAGTAGAGTCCAAAAGTACCTCCTACAAATATGCTTTTAAAAATGGCACATTTTTTGTTTCAATGTCAACTACCAAATATTTAATAAAAAGTTCTGCAAAGAAATTGGTCAAGTTTGTTAAATTTAATTCTGTTCAACCAACCAATAAAAATAAAAAAACATGAGACCTGCATTCTCCTTCAAAAGAAGTAGGAGGGAAGACATGGGCCCTGAAAATAATTAAAAAAATTATTGATGAGGGATACAGCATTACCCTGCACCACATTCCTCATTAAATAAACAGCAGGCAACAGTATGGTGCCTATTGCAAACCAGCACCTTCCCAAACCCAATCGCTTATAGGCATTGCTATCCAGACCTCTACTCTAACAATCTAAACTCTGAAATCAGTGGGCAGATCTCAAACACATTATTTGAACTTGTCCCAACTTCATGAATGGGCCAAACACCAAATATCTGAACGCACAGCAGTGGATAACCACGTGGCTTAGCCCAAACATCCAGGACCAGCTACTAGTGGTCAGGCTAGCCGAATATTACACTAGGGCCTAAGGACTCTTTACCACCATCTAAGGATACTCAAACACATTATCTCAACTTGTCCAATCAGTTTCCCTCTCTTACTCGATTGAGAAAAAACTTGCTAAGTTTATATATATTTGTGTGCAAATATCAAGTATGCAAATATTATTCTGGTATAACATGTAGTTTTTAAGATGTCTAACATTTCATGTGCTTCTTGAGAGCCACGCCTTGCCTAAACTGAGAGAGTTACCAAGTAATCAAGCACATCAGAATGACCTGTAATGAGCGCATAGTGTAAGAAAACAAGAATGGATGCTTTAAACTCATTTGAACAACAGTTATGGTATGTTGAGCATTAGCCAGTGAGTCTATGTCAAGCTGCAATTTGTCACAAATATTCAATGTGCCACAGCTTTTGTTTATATGGGCTTAGAATAACTGTCCTTGTTTTCTTGCACTCTATACTCATTCCAGGTTTTTTAAGGGGAGATGCGGGTCAAAAAACAGGTTATCTAAAAAATTACCGATTTTTTGTTTTCATGTGTTTTGGTTAGTAGCTGTACTGTTCTGAAAAAAAAAAAAAAAAAGTCGAGACTCAACTGTAAATGATTTAAAATTGCATTGAAGGAGCACAAAGTGGCTGTTAATATGCTTATTTACTTTGTAAGTTTCTCATTTTTCATTTCATTTATTTGCACGAAATTGGTAGTTACAATTGGGGATTATGGAGATTATACACAAACAGAGGGAGGTCCCAAAGTCAACAGACTGTACAGGGAACCTCCCATAAGGAATGAGTAACAAAAGTATGTAGAATGCAGCTATATATGAACACAAACTAAACACTGTAACAAAAGAAACATAATACTAACATGATTTGTTTATAAAAAAGGCTAAAAAAGTGGGGATGATGAAATGATTATGCTGAACGCAAGTAAGAACGAAGATTGAACTTGAATGTCAGGAAATGAAATATAGTCTTACTATGGCATGGTAATGAGTTCCACAGTTGTGTGACTGAGAAGTTAGTGGTGAACTTGCCATAATTAGTTCTGGGTCTCTGTAATAAATAGCTACTGTTGGAAGTGAAATGGTTTGACAATGAGTGATGATGCTGGCATTTGGTGACTAAGAGAAATCAAACTTTCCGTTGATAGATTTGGGCATCAGAATTGCGAGTGAGTACTATTTGCGAAGTTTTCCCAAGGACAAAACGCCGTTAGCGATGAGCAGTGAAGATGCTTCTGATGTGTAGTTGCTATGTGTCATGATACAAATAGCTTCATTTTGAGTGTGGTGCAAAGGCAATAGGTGTTTCCCAATGATGATATGCAATAATTAATATGCATATGAATAAAAGCATAGTAAAGAGAGACCAGTGTTTTTATATTGAAGAAATTCTAAACTTTAATTAATATTCTTATGCCAAAAGCTGCCTTTTTGTTAACGTCAGAACATGCTCATAAAATTTTAGGTATCTAATGTGACACCAAGAAACAATATATTATCAGTAAAATAGAGTGTGCTGGAAGCAAATGTTAATGATGGAGATCCTAAAAAATGATTTTAGATAAAAAAATGAAAAACTTAGATTTCGTGGCATTAATGTGTAGATTATTTTCTTGACACCAGGTAACTCTGTTATTCGCGTTGCGGCAAAGTTTAGGCAAAGTATGGCTCCCAGAATGGCACCTGGAATTTAAAAAGTACATCTGCTAGGATTGATTAATAAGTGGGGTCTAACGTCCCAAAACCACTATACGTATATGAGATATGCCGTAGTGGAGGGCTCTGGAAATTTCGACCACCTGGGGTTTCTTTAACGTGCACTCATATCTGAGCACACTGGCCTACAACATTTTTGCCTCCATCGAAAATAAGGAAAAATTGCATATTTGAAACAGCACACAAATATACATAAACACAGCGAGTTTCATTGAAATCTATTAAGAACTTTGAAAAAAAGCTTTCAGGCATAGTGTCCCCCCCTTAAGGGGGGAGGCTACCCTGGAGACCGAACTTTTTTTATTTTTTAAGATATCAGGATGAAACTTTCAGGGGTTGTTCACTACAATAAAACTAGCACAACTGCTAAGTTTCATGAAGCTGTGTTCCTTAGTTCCAGAGTTATTGAGGTTTAAGGGGGCAGACTGGTCTTAGACATTTTTTGTTTATTTCTTCAGTGATCTTAATAAAACTGCACAGGGTTATGCAGTTTTTTCTGCTGATTTCAAATATTTAATTAGTTTTCCTGTAACTCACTTTGTTCCTGAGATAACTTAAGTTCCTCCCCTATTGTTTAAGGCCACCATAGAAAAAAAAGTGCTTAATTAAAAGTGATATTTAGGATATGCCAACATAGACTAATGACTATAGAGTGAAAGTATGGAAGAGGTTTTTCTTTTTAGGCCTTTATTGGTTATTTTGCAGCAAAATGAACTATACACTTTCAAAAGCAGTTTGAATTGTGTTACAATTTTGATTGGTAATTAATTAAAAAGGCATGTGCTCTTAATTCTGCTCCCATACTTGCATTCTACACACATACAGGTTTCCACTGCAAAAAGAATTATTCTTGTACCTGCCCTAGCTGCAGAGATATTGAGGCCTCAAAATTGAATAGTCACAAAATTACTTTTTTGAGAAAAATGGCAAAAAGTGAAAACCACGGTTTCTTCAAAAAGTAACAATCATGGTGCGCATGTTTTGCAATCCTCATGAGAGGGCTCATAAATTGGTAGTAGAGCTTTAGACAAAGGTGCTGGCAAATTATAAAGAAGTCTCAAAGTCGGTTCCCCATTTTTTTGCAGGTTCTGCATGTTAACAGCACCAAGAATCTGCACAGTTAAAATGACATTACAAAAAAATTACTACTTCCTGGTGCGTGAAAATTTGCAGAGAGATAGGAAAGTACCTGCCGAAACCAAATATGTCAATTTTAAAAAATGAATTTTTTGTCACTTTTTCGTCCCAAAGAGCAGTCTGTCCCCTTAACTGGGTGCTTCACATGGGTGCCTGAGGAAGAGTCGTGAGAAATCCCAGGACATAGTAGAAAGCTGAAATTCATTGTGGTCATTCCTTGATAGCTATCCCAGGGCGCTACAAAGCCGTTTTTTTTTAATTTCCTCCCCCCAAAATTTTCACGCAACTTTGAATTTGATGTAACCAGTAACGACCAGATTCATCAAAAATTAATTGTTTATATAAATTAACAGCACCAATTTTCAAAAAAAAAAAGCTTGTTACGCCCTTGCAAGGTCATTCAGGAACAGAATAAAAAAAAACGGCACACAAATCTGATGAACGGTTTTCGAGTTCTTGCTTTCCTCAGCACCACAACTAGCAAAAAAATCTGTTCTGAGAAAACAGGCCGAGAAAGTTCAAAACATGTGTTTTCTTCAAAAAGCTCCAGCACAGTAGCTAGAAGTGTCCTGGCGCACTCTTTTCTTCTTTTGCCTGGCCTCCATCTTCTCTTGGTGTCTTTTAGAATTTTTTTAGGCGTAAAGCGTCTTTTTCACGAGCTCGCTGGATGGCCAGATGACCTGGTTGAAGTCCAATGGAGTCCGATATCACTTGGGTTGCTTTGCAGCAGCCGGCATTGTAGCGCAGCACTGCTTCATGCAGTGCTGTTTCTACCGCGATCAAGGATGAGTGTTGTTCCTTCGGCATCAGAGACCACAGAATGGAGTGGAATGATTCTGATTCATTTTGCGTCTTCGCTCCCAGGCAGCGCTGAAGAAGCCACTTTTGTGACAGTCTTTCGTAGATGGGCAGCATAGCTGCAGCGACATAGTCCGGTAGGCTGTGTTTATGTTTTGGCTGTGGCTCACGCTTTGCCTCTGCAGCTCTATGGCGGCACCACGATTGAGCCCCCTCTGGGCAAAGTTCATGGTGAGGGTCCTGGTCAGTCGATGTGACGTGGTGATATGTTGCCATCACTGCACGCTGCATGGCTGTTAGGTCAGTTGCATTGTTTCTCAGGGCCCAACCATAATATCCTGTCAGCTTTTCAATGAGGGCTTTAGTCAGCTTCCCCTTCCCACTCAGTGGCTTATCACTTTTCTGCACAATGTTTCGAAGAGCACTTCCAATCCTTTTCTGAACATGGTTCAGACATTCTTCTTTTACAATTGGCACTAGCCCGTACACATTCTCTTCGGTGAGGGCAGCGAAGGTACGGCTGTCTCCGTCGGACACAAGAGTGGTGTACCGCAGGCCATGCTTGGATACAGACCGCCCAAAGAGAGTCAAGCCTGCCTCCACTTCCATGCTTCCCGATTTTGCGTCTGTGTTTTTCTGGCAAATGTGGTGCTTCTGCCAGCTTTTGTATGCTGCATCTCCAGGTTTGGGCCCTGTTTGGCATCCAAGGCAGTGGTTTGAAAGAACTACAGCATCCAAGATGAGACCTGTAAAGAAGTCAATTACCGATCCCACTCCGATGTGTGATGTGTGACCCCGCTTATGCCATGTGCCATCGTACACTACGGTGATGTCCTTGCAGAAGCTGGGGTCCATTTCTTTATATGTTTTGATCACTGCTGTGGCAGAATCAGCATAAAACTTCTCCAAAGCGGTGGCCTCTGGCTTCCTGAACGTCTCTTTCAAGTGCTTTTGAAACGTCTTGTGGTGAAGACCTCTGTAAGAGACGTTCATGGCAGCCCAAAAGTCATTAAGAGCTGTTTGCCCCTTGCCTATTTGCTTTATAGCCATTATGGCGCGGACATTTACATCGAAGGCCTACGTGTCCTTTTTGCGGGGTGATGTCCATAATTTATTGACGGTGCCACAAGAGGCGCACACGACTTCAAGTTTTGTTGCAAGTCCAAGCTTGGTGCTCTCTCGGACAGTCATAGCACCTTTCAAACATTCTTTGCACACTGTGCGGCTGAGCACGACGTTAAAGATGTTCATATGAACGAGCAAAAAATGTTGGCCCTCACTTGTCACTGCAGGTGCAAGAGCCGGCTGCATCAGTTGAAATTTCTTCTGCTTCGCCGGCATAGACTCGAGTTCAGCACGAACGGCGTCACGACGTTTCGCATTCGCATCGATTTCTTCCTTCGTTAGGAAACGCATCCGCAGATGAAGCGACGGTCCACTCACGCTTGATGGCGGCACCGATTCAGACGAAGGGCTGGGTCCGGCGATATCAGAAGCACTCAGTATCACGCTCGATGGACCGATTCAGACGAAGTGCTGGGTCCGGCGATATCAGAAACACTCGGTGTCACACTGGATGGCATCGATTCGGAGCACGTGTCGAGCCCGGCGATCTCGGATACACTCGGTGCATTAGCGGCTCCAGCCACACTCGATGTGTCGGATTCTCGACTGGCGACAGCCGACAACACAGTTCCGTCGCTGCAAGCGTCTATGCAGTCGGCACCCGCAGCAGAATAGCAGAATTTCGATGATCGTACAAGCCGCATAGCGCGCCTCCGCGCACCGGACTTCCGCACTGACTTCGGCTTCGTTGCCGGCATCGCCCGCAACAACAAAGACGAAAGGCACAGAACTAGTGCAAAAAGAAAAAAAAAACGAGAGAAAATGATCGAAAAGGTAGCACACGGCGAAGAGCGGCTCGTAAGCAGACGTCTGTCGAGGCGGACGGAGCAGAGAGCAACAACGAAGCGAGCGCGCTGGACGCGCCATCGAGAGGAGCGACCGCCCCCGCTGCTGCACAGCAGCCAATGGCGGGCACGCTTTCTCCCGCGAGATATGAATGCGCTGCTCTAGCCAATCAGCGCTCCGCATCGCATCGCGGGAAAACGCCAATAGCGTCTCAACTGTGCTGCCGACGCCATTTTGCAAGGCGGCGAACGAGAGAGAAAGAATTCACGGTCAAAACAACACCAAGATGGCGCGGGACGACCGCATGGTCCGGGAATGGCGCGCGCGAAGTTTGGTTTGATTTCAGGATTTGCGCCTGTTTTGGACGCCGCAGCGGCCTCGAAAATAGTATTTTTTTTGCACTTTGCGGTTGAATTAGGTGCTGATAATTGCAGAATAGGTAGTTTATGAGACATACAACCCAAAAATGTGGTTTTTCAAAAACCGACTTTTTCGCGATTTTTCGGTTTTCAAAGATTGCGTCCCCCCTTAACCAAGACGTAACCCAGCTGGCTACTTACTGTACATGGGGGGGGGGGGGGTGATAAAAGTTTGGCAACATTTCTGAAATATTGGAAAGATGCGAGACTGGCTTGACCGTCTGTGATGTCTAGCACAGAACTCCTTCTGTGTTGGTGGCAACTACAGTAAGAATAAATTTTATTTGAATGGGCTTAGAACATCCAATTTTATTTCACTATACACTGTTCTGTTCCCAGATTATGGTGGTATGCTATAACTCTCGCAGTTTACCAAAAATTTTGCTCCCCAAAGCGCACATGAAACATGTTGTATTTTAAAAGCTGCACATTATACTACTAGAAAAATAATTTCATATTTGAAATCGGCACACAAATTTACATAAATACATGAAGTTTCATAAAAATGTGTCCCCAAATTAAAAAACAAGACAATTTGTAACAGCGGTGTTCCTTTCAAATTCTTCCCTTCATTTCCTCTTCCCTTCATGTAGTCTTGAGGTGATCATCTCTAGAGAGGCAGAGACATTTCAATGTCTCTGTCTCAATTTCAAGACAATGGCCATTAATTGCCACAAGGCAATGCATCGTATGATACTAATGAGTGGCAGCTGATGCACCCCAGTCTCACTACTTCTAGCGCAGAAGAAGGAGGAAGAAAAATGGTGTTGTGATCAACCAAAACATGCGCCTGCGGAAAACGAGCCGTGCTTCGCTGTAACACAGCGGTGACACGCGGTTTCTCACGCATGTTTCTCGCAACGTCAGCGGGTCATGGTTTGCCCATTCTTTCTGGGATTTTAAAGAAATTAATATAGAACAGTTTAGAAGAAATTGCGATGTATGCGAACCTCTGATTGCCGGTTGCTCCAGCAATTCGAGTCGTTGCACTGCTGGCGGAGTTCTTGCTAGCAACGCCTACTTCGAAAACTAAGTCGAAAGTTTCAAAAATTATTTTTTTCCAGCCAAAACACATTGTGAGCTTCGTCATACAGGCCATTATTAAATTCATAATTATAATAGAAAGAATGTGCGAATGGTCGCATCATGTCGTGCTGACACAGCGAGGAGCAGGCGACATGCTGCCCGCGTGTCACTACTGTGTTGCAGTGAGGATGTCTTGTTTTCTGCAGGCGCACATTTTAGTCGATAACGACCGAGTTTTTTTTTTTTTTTTGGTGGCAGCAGCGAGGCCCATCGTTCCTCCATGTTTGCGGAAAAATAAAGGCCAGGTATTGCTGGAAAACTTGACCTTTGGAGCCGCAAGCTAGCCGGCACAGCAAACGACAAGCACCGATTACTTTGAATAGTTCTAAGTTCCTTGCATCCTACTTTTTGTATGTTCTGTTAATTCGAGAACCCGTTTAATTCGAAGCTTTCTCGTGGTTCCAGTGACTTCGAATTAACGAGGTTTTACTGTATTAGACAGAGAAATTAACATATTTGTCATGACCTTACTAACATGCATTTTTTTAATTGAATCAAGGCATGTGGGAATGCCATTCTTGGCTCAAGGTTACGTGAAAACATTTTTGAGTAGTTGCAGGATTTGAATTTCAGTAGGATGCCAGTTAATGACCGCTGAAGTACATTGTTTTACAATTTACAATACTTGGAGCATTTAAGTCCAACTAACAAGCTTTTTAACATATCAAATGATTGGTCGCACTCGTCTAACTTTGAAATGAGGCATTGCAGTGGCACATGTATTTTAGAGAGATGTTTCAATGGCATACGACTTCTACGCTGTGGTGATCTCACCATTACAGGGGGTTTGCATGTGCAGTTTAATGTTCACAAGCTTATTTGTTCATTTTGAATAGCTTAAGTTTGAATAATGTAATAGTCATCAAATTTGAATATTCGTGAATACCTACTAATAATCTAAAGCTCTATCGTGCTTTAAGATTATCTTTTTCTTATAAAACAGACCTTGATGCTCCTTACTAGCATCCTATGTGGTGTGTCTCTGCAGGGCAATTATAAATGAGGGCATAAAATTAAGGCTAGATGTTCAACTTTGCTGCAATACCTTACACAATTTTATTTGTGCAATTAGCCTCTTCTTGAGGAACTTAAGAGAAAATGTTCCCCAGGGGTTAATGTTTTGTTGTTGGAGGCACCTTAATCCCGCATGTTTGCATTGCAGTTTTTTGGTAAACTGCTCATTTTTTCGATATTACACTAACTGACCCAACTAAACCGTCTTGGACCGATTTTGCATTCCTCTCTGATGTTTTTGTTCCACTTTTTCTTAGGCCGAGACTGATGAAGAATACAAGAAGTGGCTGAAAGGAGAGGTGGATAAGATTCACCAAAAGAAAGATGTTGAGAAATTGGTATGTGTTCCTTGTGTTTGCACTGTTATCAATGTGTAGGGATTACTGCTTTACGAATAACCATGTGCAGTGTTACATTTTCTTTGATGCATGCAATGTGATGAATGCCTTAGGTTCTCATAATCCATTAGCTCGCTTGATACTGGGGACGAGTGCATCAGTAATTTTTTGTTCCCATGTTCTGTTTTTGCACGTGAGTGGTTGTTTGCATTGGGCCATCTCTTGAGTTGCATGCTTGGCTCACCAAGCAGATTGTTGTGTTGTTAAATATTACGTAGGTGTAGGAAGTGCTTAACATTGAACATAGATTAAGGGGAGACGCCGGCCTTAAAAATGAAATTTTTATTATTAGAGATATATTAATGGAATTAGGTGTGTATATGTTTTTTCTCCTGTTTTCAAAAAACGTATTTAGTTTTATTGTACTTCAAGTAGTTCTCAGATTATGAGAAAATAAGTGAAGTCTAGTTAGGTCATTTCTTACGGTTGATTAAGCTACTTTCCCTTGATATTTTTTGGTTCAATTGAAGAAGCAGCTGTAGCCGAAGATGTGCCATGTGGAGCTATGCTATTTATATTGATGCTGATATCCATCATCATATAAAGATTTTCAATTATATTGATGCTCCATAATTTTTAAGTGGAATTTACTCAAATTATTGTTCACAAAATCTTATATGTTCAATTTGGCCATAAAAAAATAGCATAGCTTCACAGGTTGATTCCTTACGAGTTCAACGGTACAACATTTATTAAAATTGGCTTACAAAAACATAACGGAAAGTTCTGTAAGGCTAGTCAAGCTGGCAAAAACAAATTGTGAAGCTGAGAAAATCTTATTTGAAGTTTCTACACTTGCTGCAAAAATTTCTAAAAGGAATCTTCAACAGTAAATTTTGTTTAGATGTACCTTCTCTGTTTTCTTGTTAAACAAAACAGAAAATGTCTTATTTTATCCAACACATCATTAAAAAAATTTCCACTGTGGACAGCAAGGTCTGAGCCCCACCATGGCAAGTGGTTGGAGGGAAGGGGGGGGGGGGGGGGGGGATCCTGGAAATACCATGGGGTGTGAGACTAAAGCCAATGCTTCCTCGTAAATTAATGAAAGCTCTATTTGCATTAACTGCCTGGATGTTAGGCAGCATGCTGCCCTGTGTAATAGGTGGCTATGAGCTGAGTGTCGCTTATGCGCAGCCACGGGCAGATGTAGCGTCCCTAGAGAGTGCAGGGAACTGCATAGATTTTGTGTTTCTGACAAGTGCGTTTGCGAAATCGCGGCAAAACCAAGCGGACACACTCTCATATATCGCTCAATCGCCTTTGTAAGCGAAGCGTGACATGTGCTCTTTCTTCCACTGCTCGCGGGATCATTCTGCGCACGTAGCAGATTGTAAACGTTAAGGTGCCTAATGGGCACCGACTCCACCAGACTCTTGCCCCGACGGTGCACTTCCAGCCGGCGCCTTCTTGTTCTGAGTCCGCTTTTGTCTGCTTCCAAAAGCTTTTTGCGAGGACAGTTTCAGATGAGTCACCGGACATCTTGATCGTGTGGATATAAACTACCGGCACAAAACGCAAACACGATGCGTCGAGAAACATGCACAAGCGCAAGAGCAGGCGTACACAATCGGACAACCAGGAAGACGAACGCGCTAGCAAAAAAATACACGCGTTGATCGCGCCAGCTAATGGGAAACGTGGAACGACACTCTTGAAAAGCACGCCGATCATGTCAGCCAATGGGAGACCAGGTACGGTGCACTCAAATGCCCGCCGAGGGGTAGCCAATCAGCAACCCGGGAACGACCTTCAGAAAACCCACGACGGCGACCATTCCGCTTGGATGATGTCATTTTGAGATGGTGCAAATTACGCACAAAGGAAATAGCTTCAAGTCTAGCTCAAGATGGCGGCGCTCGGCCCGCTGCGACGCTCATGGCACGCGTGCGATGTTTGAACAAATTTTGTGCTTTTTAGGGCATTTTACTGCTGCCAGGGTGCTTTTGAAGGCTTAATTTATCGCCTTTTCCGAGCGAATTGGGCGTTGGTAATTTGAGAGTAGATGCTTAGAGGTATAAACGGCAAAGAGGCACAGAAATCGTTTTTGGCCATTTTTTATGGTTTTAAGACCCGCACCTTCTTTTAAGCTGATAGTTCAGTTCTACTGTAAGCTGAGTCCTGGAAATTTGGTGTAGCGTCGTGTGCTCTTCTTTCACTTTGCTATTGTTTTTCAGCCAGAGGGGTACTTGTAGGTTTATACGAAAGTACACCATTATTGTGAAGATGGTGTTTCTCTCTAGTGTGCATTTATCTAAAAGCTTGCATAGCAGCCTTCATAATGTGTTGCTTGAACATTACGTGTGTCGTGCAGTTAATGGGACACTAAAAATTGACCATGCATATCAGAATGAAAGATAAATGTTCGAGCATGTCTAAAACATTAATACTGCAGCGGTGCTCTAAGGCGTATGTACGACGTCATATACGCCATGAGTGGAACATTTTAAAACGATCCCAATGACATAAGAGGGCCGACTACAATTAACCACTAGTAATCAAACTAGTAGCGATGAAAAAGAACCTTCCATGAATTACAATATGTGATAAAATGCTGCTTCACCGTTATTGTCTGATTCATGGAAAAAAGAAACTCTTGGTATTACCATGGAAAATGGTGTGATTGGTGCAAAAGTCTCATTTTCGCCTGTTTAGGCCAGATAGGTGGTGCCGTCTAGTGGGGCCCACTTGAACGAGGCAAGCTCAAAATTTTTATTGCAGAAACATTGTGCATTCTACTTCTGGTGTAAATGCATTTCAGCAACGTAATTGCGAATAAGTTGCCTTTTTAATCCTTTCTTTCCGTGAAGATGCTAGGCAAATACTAGCATGTCTAAGACTGTGGTTGCATAAAGCATCACAAGAGGTTAACACTATCGTCCAGTAACGCTGCATTCCAACAACCCTTTACGTATGTCAGTGGCCGCACAGGAAAGGCAGGCAACGTTGGGCAAGGCAACCGCTACTTCAGAGAGGCCTTTTTCCAGGCAGGTGACTTGTTCGCTAACATCAATGGGACTACTAGAATAAAATTTTTTTTTCAGTATAAGCATTTTTTTGGCACGAAAGAAGCACTATTTCACTATTTCAGCCATCAATGACGACTACATATTTTCCTTGAGTGTCCGTTGATTGTCTGACTAGAAGGTGAATGGTACACATAAGGATGTCGGCGCAACAATCTTTTTATTAGCTTCACATGGGTGCTCAAAAGGCCTTTCAGATAAGTCTGTTGAATTATTAACAATGTAAGCACTGCCACCCCAGATATTATTACTGCATCAACGAATTTGCACAGAACTACTGTTAATGCACAGAAATACTGTTAATCTCTTGTTCTGTATGTTCTTTGTAATAGTTGCTGCGCTTCCTACCAAGGAAGAGCGCTAAAGAGTTTATTTTGTGGGAATTCGGGTGTCGGGGTTAGAATGCACCACGATATTACTACGATACAATTACGATGAACCAACTCACCCAAATTAAGCTCCTGTTGCTGTGAAAAATTATCTTTTCTGTGACCAAAAAAATTGAAAAAGATGGAAATAAAATAAATAAGAAAAGTTCTCGGTTCGAAGTGACAATGAAACCCAGGCTGTCTTCATGGCAAGCCGGTGCTCTAGCACAATGCTCTTAAAACTGCTTCGGGGGGGGGATGCTATATCAATATTGTGTAGTGGAAGGAATCTCTTTACTGCATGTAATATCACATGGAAGAAGTGTAGAAGGTGTCAAGACATGTAAGTTGTGCTATGTGTGGGTGTTTTAAAACCCACCCATTACAAAGCGCTAAAACATATTCAACCATCATCATCAATAAAAGCGTCATCAAAATGAACAGCTGCATACGCTCGCGTGTTGCCTTACGTACATGTAGTCGGCCCTTTGCCGATTTGCTAAAGGAAAAGTTATGGCATAGTGGGTACTTAAGAACTGTACTAGCAGTAGGCATACTAGTATAGCTCAAAAAGGCCAATGTTACACGCACAGTCATTTGTTTTCTTACTGGCTAAGGCATGAACTTGAGCCAGACTAGCACTTGAGAAGGCGATGTGCATGGGGCCCAATTATGTCATGTTCTCCTCTTGACAGTGAAGCTCAAGCGTCCTCCAAGATTTTTAACTGTATTGTAGTAACCGCGGTACAGATGATTGAGTTAATGATGTACCCTTCTTTTAGTAGCTAAGCTATTTAAAGTGACTGTCTAACGTGCATTGTTGTTTTTCTGCCGCACTTTTCAGGGCTACCTCCATGACTACTGGAACAGCAGCAACTTGGACAAAGCTGAGGAATTCCTTCGTGACTACATTCTCAACAAGCGTTACTTGGAAAAGAGCAGGTTACCAGCAGCCCAGCCAGAAGACGATGAGGACCTAAGTGCAGATGAGGCTATTCTCGAGGAACAGGAAACGTTTGAGCACAAGTTCAATTACCGCTTTGAAGAGCCAGACTCTGAATTTGTGAGTAGCATGTTTTGGGTCCTCTTTGTGTTTGAATACCAGAAGAACCTGTTCACAGGGCAACCCCTGTTGCTGCGATTAGTAAAATATGAGAAACTGAACTTTTTCACTGCTGTGCTTCCCTGCAGAGCATGCTTTACAGGGAAATCTTGTTGATATAATTCTGCATAATGCTTTTTTTTGTGTAATAGATTTTTCTTTTTATTCCCTGCCACCGTCCTTTGATTTTCATGCATTTACTATGACGTTATTTTTGCCCAAGATTGAGTAATACGGTTTTACTCCTCAATGAGGGACGCCCTCAACAATGCAATCCTCGTGGCAATAAAGTGATCTGACATTTGTGGCAACCGTTCATAAAGTAAATGCACTTGCACCCTCTTGGCAGCGAATGGATGTCAAAAAGCACTCCCACAATAACAGGAAGTTGCCGGTAGTGTGCCGCAGCTTTCATTTTTTTGAACCATTGATGTAGTTGGGAAACCAGAAGTTCGAAAGTTTCAGCGCAGCTCATTCGACAGGTCAGGCGCATACGTTTCCACTGACAAGCATCAGTGCGAGCATTGCTCTTTACACTCGGTCAGAGCAAGAAGTGAAAAAGAGTGTTTTTTTTTTGTTTTTTACTGAGAACAGTTCATTGCTAACACCTCTGATGTCGGCATGGGACATTTCAAGTGACAACACCAACAAAAGTGGGGTCGTGTTGCCTGCTTGCTGCTGTGTGTCTCTCCGTGCGCACTCTTAGTTCTCCGGCGCTTTGCTTACATGCATGGTTGTTTTCTGGTTAAGAAAGCGCCACCTCATATTGAAAATTGTAAGCTTTCCGCAGGAGAAGTTGAAGATCTCCAAAGCTGCAAAAAGCAGAGAAAAGGTGGCTATTGTACAGGAGTTCAGCATCTCATGCGGCTTGCTGCATACAGTTCTATACTCAAAAAACAGCATAACACGAGTATAGCCTGCAGTATCAGTAAATAAATAAATAAATAAAAACGTCATATTGGCACCCTTGTGCAGCACAAGACGGTAGCCATACCTGATTTCGAAGGAACAGCAGTGTTTTCAAGTAAATTTTGATTGTGCGACGTAATTAGTGTGCATACATTTTTAACTTTTTTTACAGTACAGTACAGAACAAGAAAGAGACAGACAAGTGCACGCAGCATAGTATCTTGGAACAGCCGATTTCGTGGTTGATGTCACTGACCTTGACGGTAAACCCCTCACAGCAGCGTCTTTTCTAGTTACCATGCCAGCCAGGGCTGGGCAAGCTGCGATAGCATTGGCTGTGGCTATTCCCACGCTCACGCGCATTTTCACTGACTCTCGAACTGCTGTACAAGCATTCATGACGAGGTCAGTTTGTAAGCAGGCAGCCAATATTCTTACCAAAATTCCAAGTTGCACTGCAATCAATGGTCACATCGCCTGGCTTCCTGCCCACATGGCCAAGGATGTCCACCTTGTTATCCCTGATGCCAATGAGTCTGCCCATGCCTGCGCACAACACGCTGTCTCACCGCGACGGGCACTCGTTTTCTCATTTGGGAGAAGCATCCAGCAGCTTGATTCCCTCCTCTCCTTTAACGAAATATGTAAGCACTATCAATTGCCCAGGCGTGGGTTCTCGCACCCGCGACTGTCGAGGGCCCAGTCAATTGCTTTACGAATGCTGCAAACTGGTACTTACCCGTCGTCCTTAGTTTACAGTAAGCTTATTGACAGCATAAAGCCTCACTGCCCTCGTTGCGATGAGAGATAATGCACGATAGCTCACATGCTCTGGCAATGCACGGCGCTGCGCGATGGCAAGCCTGTCAGCACAGAGGATGCCTGGAAGACTGCAATCACCAGCTCGGACCGGGAGGTCCAAATTCGGGCTCTCCAGAGGGCCCATAGTTTGCGGTGCATGCCCTTCCTGTACCAACGTGGGTGCGGCCTGCAGCCGACCCGCCTTCTTGAGGGGCATCGGCTACTCAGGACAATTTTTTGTGGATAAAGTTCGTTGACCGACTGACCAACTGACTGACTGGATACATACCAACTCGCCCGGCTATCTGTACTGCCATTAGTGTGCATGTTTTTCTATTTTCGTCACAATGAAATTTTGACCAGAATGAACAAACATCACTTCCTCGTCGACTTTGTTGTTGAGGGGTTCAACTGTACGACTGGAGAAGTTCATTTTGACCGATATGCCCAGAAATACCACGTGTATTCTTTGGTCAACTACAGTTAAACCTGTCTTCTACAGTGCACTCCACTTATAACTATACCACATACATATAACGATAAATCAGTTATAATGGTGGGTGGGCTTAACAGTCTCGTTTTTTGCATTGTGGCTATTGTGAAAAATACATGTATAACGATATGTTATCTACCGTATATCGGATACATTGATGAAAATTTTTCCGTTTGGACGGCATGTTCTAGAATAATCTTAACATTCACATCGATAAATTCATTCAGTCATCGCGGATGTGATGTCACAACAGACGACAGAGTTGTGCGACAGCAGCAGTGACAGTAGTGTCGACGAGGTCAATAATAACAGCGCCTCTCCGGCCTTGTCGATGACCATGCAAAGTGCGCTGATGTCGATCAACGCACTAGCAGTCTTCATGCGTGCCCAAGGAATGCCGCCAGAGTATCCGCAACTGCCTGAAGGTATGCAAACCACGCTTGTTAGGTTGAAGCTTCCGCGGAAGCAACTGCAGGTATCGGGCTTCATCGCGCCAAAGTCATAAACGCTCTTCGAAGTATAAAACAAAGTTTTTTTTTTTTTTTTTTTTTGAAAGCCTTTTATATACATCATCTGTTCATTGGTGGAAAAAGTGAATTTGAGCCCGGAGCTATGAAAGGTATGCGTTGGGCGACGATTTTTTACGGCAGTTCAGATATAGCGATCATCGGTTATAACGATCGTATTTTCAGGTTTCCTCTACATCGTTATAAGTGGACTTCACTGTATAATGAACCACCATACAACGAATTCCTCAGTACTATGAAGTTTTCCTATTGCCTCCCATTACTTCTTAGAAGCACATTTTTTGCGATCTCCGTGTAACAAGGTTGAATTGGAAGACATCCTAGATATAATAAACTTTGGGCACTTACAATTTTGCCCCAGATATTGTCATTTAGGGCATGCACATGCATCTTCTTTGGTTGCCCCACTGCCAACGAAGCGGGAAGCAGCAGCATCGCATACAACACGGCTGAAGGCCTGGTAACTGCAAGCACTTGTTGGTGCACGCGGGTTCGCATGAGGCAGCCAGATGGGCCTGTGCCTCTCTAGCTGGCGTTGCCGCCGTTTTTTCTATCGTGGGCTGCCACTCCTTCAAACAAACAAACAAACAAACAAACAAACAAACAAACAAACAAACAAAAAAGACTACTTTTGCGTTGTCACTGTTTCGTTGCGTGTGATCGACTGCTTGACTTCGGTCAAGTGACACCATATGATGCCACACACACAAAAAAATGTGTCGTTACGCTTCAAATTTGTGTTGCATATATGGGATCGCGCTGCATATGGAGAGTGCTTTTCCGAATAGTATTCTGAGGTATCTGCATCATTCATTCTTCATTTTCCACGCCTTACTTGAGTGCGTACCGTAATCACTTTTTATCATACCTGCACTGATTGGGCTCATTAAAATGAGTAAACAAACCAGTTAGTCTTCATGGTAATTTGAACATGCGCCGTCTATTTTTCTTTGCAGATCAAGAAGTACCCCAGAACAATGCAAGATTCGATGCGTCGTAAAGATGATCGACGAAAACTCAAAAGACAGGAAGTGAGGGAAAGGAAACTACAGGTGAGCTGAAGGTTTTTTACCATTGGCAACTTTGACATGAAAGTGTACACAGTACGATATTCTGTACGAGTTTTCGTGTGCTGTGTGTTCCTTTACTAACTTGCAACCACAGCAATATGTGAATAACTCTGCAATCTAAATTGCAATTATAATGCCTGGCATGCTCGTCTTACTTTTTTTGACATCGGTAACATTACCTAACTGTCACTGTTGTTGATGTGATAGTGTTAAATAGCTAATTTAACGAATTCTGGCGTTGGCATCAGTGGGCATGTCCGCATTTCTTTAATTGTGGGCAAAAAATTGTCACTTTTTCAGTGATGCGATAGCTGCGCCTGTTGTACCAAACTGCTCCAAAAGACCAATCGTGCTACATCCCGCTACATCTCAACCATTCTATGTCAAGCAAAGTGAATTTATCTTTCGAACGAAACTAATCGCTTGAGGTCTCAATGCCCGAGTATGCATTGTTCGTATGTTCACGCACCACACTACAGTGGCTGTGACCACACGTAGATTAAGGAAAATATGCGCTCTTGTGCACAGCTGGTCAGACTAGTTTCTTGACATAAGTCGTTAGAGGAGTGAATGTGCACACCATAACAAAAGCACCATTTTACTAAGATTGCACATGGGCAAAAAGGGACTAACAGGCGACTGTGCCATTTTGAGAAACGAGTGGTGCAACTCGTGTGTGAATTTTCATTCCTTTAAATTTTCACATGTTAAAAGTTAACGTTTGTGGACTAAAGATGTTCCAGCACAAAATTCATTTATGTGCCGAATTTCCCCGTGCAAAGGCAACCGAATTTTTTTATGCTTTCTATTTCCCTGTTGCAATGTCATAAGCACTGCCGACAGCAAACTACCTCTCGAGTTGCTCAAGTGTTGCACATGGGCGCCTTTGTTTTCGTTGATGATGCGAGTCATTGCTTTCAGAATCAAAAAGTTGTTTCCATGGATCCCTTTCAGAATGTAACCACTGCAACACTTTTTGTAGACATTGCACCAGACCCCACTTCTGCATCCACTCTTGATGATGGTTACACGGTTAGCGCTCCTTATGCCTAGCCTGCTGGTTCGCAACTTGGCATGCCGCTCCTGGAATCTTGCCCTAGATAATATCAGATCGGGTGCAGAAAGAGATCACCCTTGCAAGCTCACCTACTCGAAAAAAGCTTGGTTTCGCGGTCGGGAGAATGGCCATGACAACTGTACTGCATAAGCCTAGCAAGCTTGTGATTCCGCCTGTAGATTGAAAAGGCGAAGTCCCGCGTAACAAAACCTTTACATTTGCGAAGCACCATCTGCAGGAATGGTAGAAATGTGGAATGCACTCTATGACGACGTAACTATTTTCTGGATAAAAGCTGAACAGCGGTACTGTGCACTTGGCACCGGCACCTGTTCGGTGCGGAGTGTTCGCAAAGAACGAGTGGAAAAAAGCCATCACGGGGCCAAGCGCTCGCTTAGAGGAAGGGTTGTGTCAGGCTCTAGAGAAGCTTTCACATGGGACGTGATTTGCTCTAGTGGTTGCTCTGGAATGTTCTGGACATTGTGCATCTCCAAAACAAGTTTTTCAGTATGAAATTGCTTGAGTGTTTGGCACCTATTTGGATTATGGCAGCTCTGTTCATGTTGATCCCGTTTTAAGTTTTGCAATATTTTGCATTCACACGTGCGAATAAGCAAGTAAGATCTGGTGTGGTGTTAAGGACATTAGTTACCGATACGCAGTTATGCAACAAAAGTCGAGACCAGCCAGCCATGTAACTTTGCAGAGTTATAGCATTAGAGCTGCTAACTGCAAGCACCTCCTAGGAAACATGCTAGGGTGCCCTCGCCAGAAGAACCTTCACTTTCAGCAAAAGTGGTCGTTAATTCCAATTGCCTTCCTTCTGAGAACTTGCCATATCGTTCAGGGAGTCTGGAAGAAGGTAAAATACTTGATTATATCACAACATTTTCTCATACTGAGTTCTATTTCTTTATGAAATGAAATTTAGTTTCTTTCATGCTGATGCGCCATGATCTGCACGTTGGTACAATGACCTGAATAGCAGCTTGTAACTTTCCTGCTGCGCTACATTTGTGCTGAGGCCTTGTCGTGCTTGGTGATTTGCTGAAATTCTTTGTGCGTTTTCAGGAGAAAGAGCAGAAAAAGGAAGAGATCAATCGACTAAAGGCATTGAAGAAGAAAGAAATCCTCGAAAAACTTCAGAAGCTCAAGGAGGTCACTGGAAATGACCAGCTGGGTATCGCAGATGCCGATATCGAGGGAGACTTTGACCCTCAGGAGCATGACCGACGCATGAATGTAAGGACTAGCTCATTTACTTGAATCTAACGTGCACCATTTTCCGACCAAATGAGTTCAAATTTCTTAAGTGTTAGAACCAAATACGAAACCGTAACCAGATCTGCGGCACGATTCCCATGTACGGGGTGGCATTGGCGCCCCAGGGGCCTACCTGTTCTGAACACAGCACCTAAGTTCCCAGCCCCTTCGAAGAAACTCATTTGTTGTGGGTGCCCCCACCCCCAACCACCTCTCAGTTAAAAAAAAAAAAAAATTCTGGTGCCGTCATCAAAGGAGCCACATGCAATGCCATTGCCATCACAAAATGGTGACTGAGGGTATGTCATTGCGAGTTCGCGTTCGTTTATTTTGTGCATGAATAGTACCTGAGTGTGGCATAGATGCTCTCAAACTGAAATAAAACTGTGTGGTTCACGAAAGGCAAATAGAAGTTGACTGGACAAGTACAGAGTAACAACTGAATTTATTGAAATACATCTAGCTTTCACTTCTGACAATGCACATGTGCAAGAAAACAACAATATCACCATATCAAAGGTCCTTCATTTAGTCTATAAAGTGAGGCTTTTTTTTTTTTTTTTGAGGAATGCACAATATTAGAAATTTGGAACATTTAAATAATATTTGCTATTCGACTTGATTTGCACTAAAATATTGCTATTTTAACTATTTGAACTTCCGAAAGACAAATACAGGCAAAACCAAGTAAATGTGACCCCTTCAGATTTCCTATATTCTTCACTGCATATCACTTTCATATTGCGGCAGAGCTGTCATTGAAGCTTGCAAACGAATTGACTCAAGAAAGCGTTGGTTCCGACATGAAGATGATTGTTGCGGCAGAGTGGGGACTGAAAATGCTGTTTTGAACCTGAAATTTGAGCAGGTACTCGGAAAAGTTAGACTATAAACATCTACAAGGCAGATTTGGAACTCGATTGGGCTTTTACCGAAGTTCAAAAAGGAAAAGAGGCTGAAAAACCCTTTCACATGTAAAGTGTTGTTGGCAACACATTGATTGCACTGAATCATTTACAGTGGCGATCAAAATATTTCGGACCACGGGAGCACGAATCAAACAGCACGAGGGCGCCTTCTGACAGCTGCCTGTGAAGCTCAAAAGCGGGCACTACGCACGCGCACCCTTTTTTTTTTTACTCGCCAGGCTGCTAGTTTGCTATATTCAACAGTGCGCACCGAAACGTCAGAATAAGCGCAAAGTGTCACTCCTGTTTTTGCCTCGGAAACACCAAGTCATGATATCGTGATGAAGCACGTAATTTGTACTGGCAGAGTTCGTTGCATGTCACATTCTTTGCCTAGTCCCAGACGCTCTGCTGCACCTAAAACATGCATACAGCATTAGTTTTTGAAAAATCAACCTGTGTGGTAAGATTACTGAATAGCTTTTATTCGTGGAAGACATGCATTGTGGGATTTCTTGCGGTGTTCTGTGAAAGTGTCTTGCGAAGCGTCTGGGGCTAAAGTGCAGAATGCAGCGCACACCAAGCACTGCCAGTATAAATTACATAGTACTGTAACAGCCCGCATATAGCTCGGACTTGCATATAGTCCGGTGTGTAATTTGGGGATAGCAAGCGTGAAAAAAAAAAAAAAAAAGTTTTCACCCGTATATAGCCCGAGTAAAACAGAAAAATGCAATTATTGATGCCCTTCATCCGTTGTCCTGGTCAGACGCACTCTCTTTCGAAGCTCCCTTGTCGGAAATGTTCTCCCACAGCACATCATCCTCAGTGCCATCAAGCACATTCGAGATGGAGCACTTTTTGAACGCACAGAAAACGAGTGCCTCGGGAATGCAGGCCCAAGCCTCGACTATTTACGAGCACAGCATCATTGGCGAGGCCCATTTCAGTCATCTGGCAGGGGTCACTTCTGATTCTCGGGACCTCATCCACTCCGCGTACAGGTGCTTGACATTGTCCTTAAGGGGGGACACGGGTCTTAGAAGGCCAAAAATAATAAAAAAATTATTTTTTGAAGCTGACATTTTCGAAATCTGTACCTATTTTTCTACCTACCTAAGAAGTTTCGACCTTCTCACGTCATTATTTCTGGCGCAACATCAATTTATAACATACATCCCTGTGAGATGAATGTGAGCGCAAATTGACGCTAAAATCGCGCTTTTTCTGCGCCAAACTGTTGCCGTTACACACGAGCTATCGTGTTCATCTTGGTCTCGTTTGGAAGGGTCGTTCTTCATCTTCAATTTCCCGCCACTGCTGGCTCGCCTTGCTCATTGGTTCTTTAACAAAAACGCGTCATCGAGAAGCACTAGCGCGCGATCGAATTGGCTGCTTGGGGCACGTGACAAAACCTAAGCATCCGATTGGCCAAAGGGCGCTTCCGACGTCTGCTTCACCATCGTGACGCGTAGGGACATGCGCCATTTTGTCATGGTGCTACTGACTGCCTGCGGCAGTAAAGGAGATCCGTGCTGCAGTAATTTGTGAAGCGGGTGTGGCGGTCGTTCGTTCACTGTGAACTTCAGAAAGAGCCCCGTTAAGGCTCAGGACAATGAGGATAGCAAACTCGGCGCGGTCAACGGCGGTCGCCCGAGTACCGGTGTAGGCCTAACTCACGTATGAGCCCGTTGGTTGCCGACAACGTTACTGAGAACGGCTGTGTTTTGCAGCCTCAACAGTTACAGGACGGTAAGTAAAAAAGCAGAAGTGAAGCTACAAGAGATATCAATCTTTGTAGTGGCGGAACGGAAGTGCAGTCCTATCGCTTAACGCGCCGATGCCGCGGTTCCCCCTGCCTGACAAAAGGACCTCGAACTGCGCGACTGGCCGTTAGAGTGGAGTACGCTGCACGTCAACGAACAACAGAAAGTCAATCTGTTCGCGCTAAACATGCCCGCCACCCCCGCAATGGAGGCTACTGGCAATAGGTAGACTGCTTTTAACAACGTGTTCGCAACATTGTCGCGATCTCCGCTCGAAAATGCGGCAGTCTTACATGAAAGGGAAACTAACACCTCGACACTCGTGTAGCCTCGAAATTGATGAGCGAGGGAGCAACTTTGGTTTGTGACATTTACGGGCAACTCATTCTGTACAAGCCGGAAAACATCGCCGTGTTATTCGACGGATTGCGGATGATGCATGCACATTTGTCGCACATCGCCATCAGTACATTCACCGAACTGATAAGCGGCCTCGCCGTAGACAAGCACACGGCGACGACTTGCTACAGGACTAGAAGAAACGACACGCTCGTGCAATCAATCAGTCCTATTACATTCCCGGTCCATAATAACCGGCTAAAAGCATGTGTGTCATGATATTTTTCCCTCGGAACGGTGAAATAAAGTTTTAACGTCATTATTCTCGAAGCACAGATTTTGACCACTTTCTTTTGCTTGTTCGGTAAAAGTGGACCTAGGACAGCTAGAGCTGTAATTGTTTTTGCACAATGTAGCTAGCTGTGCACAAAAGAATAATGCTCGAAGCCTATTTTTAATGGGCAGCTTCATTCTTTTATTTTAATATAAAAACTTTTGTATTTGGTTAGATGCAATGAACTTTACTGAGCTGTAATTGGAGAAGTACTTGTTCAATTTTCGATCAGCTCGCAGCGTTGCACTCCTTAGGCTTTCTAGCATTTATATATACGTCAATGGCTATGTAATTCTAAGTACATACATTTTTACAGTTAAAAGCCTTAAAATTCTTTGTTTTCTTCATTTTCTCAAACTGGCAATTTTGTACACTCTGCATGAAAATTACTGCAATATATCAGAAACTATTACAGATAACAGAATATTTTTTTGCAGCCTGAAGCTATGTGTTTGGAGCACACAACATAGGAAGCAGATTTCTATTTCTCTTGGTGCAAGTTTTTAAAACTAGTCTTTTGTGTGACCACACAATGGCCACATTCAGAGCTGTGAAGTTTAGTGCACTGTAAACTAAGAAATAATGACCCAATCAAAAAAGTGCTTCCTATGTTGTATGTCTTATGCTTTCTACTGTCAATCCCTATGTCATTTATAAATTTTTGACCGGTGGTTATTTTTCTATTGTGGTAAGAACAATAGAAATTATTATCTTGATTATTTAATTAACTAATGAAGCTACAGAAAAAATAACTGCGTTTTTAGAATTAGGAGAACTAAGTAAGCATGCCAACTTTTGTCACATTTGGTTCAAAAATAAATGAGAGAGCCCTAAGACCCATGTCTCCCCTTAAATGGCTTATTAAGGCACACATCAAGCGGCTGCAGCTGTGAGGATGACGACGAGCTCGGTGCGGGAGTCGCGCAGCAGTCACTTTACGGAGTCAGTCAGGTGACATCGAAACGCATCGCGCACAAGCATCAAAGGGAGCCCCAGCAGTGCTCCGGGCTGTCGACACAACACGGACTTTATCCAGTCAATCACTAGCGATTCGTCCATCCACCCCATGTCCTGGCATTTTTTGGGAACTTCTCCTCCCTTCAGCAATGTCTTTTGTTTGAACACCACATAGAGTGGTAGCTTGTGACTGCCTGCAGTGCAGGACAACATTGCAGTCACCCACGTTTATTTTCGTTCCCAGTCGATCGCACGATAACTTGCCTGGAGCCTTTCTGATGCACCGTCAGCGCCGAGGGCATATACAGGTAGACCGGCATTTGACCCCTGTTGCCGACGTGGCCCAGCTGATAGGGGACAGCCTTTCACTATGCAATTACATACTTTTGAAACTTCACAAGGCCCTCTTTGTAGCTCTTTGGTAGCTTCTGCGAGGTCGACGTACGTCGGCATATGCAGAACCCAGCGCGGCGCATGAAGACAGACACTCAATGCTTGCTCGCTTTGAAATCCTCCGGCTGAATGCCTTTGGCTCGGGCGATCACCCTTGCCTTTGCTTGTGGCAGCTCGATGTTAACAGCGAGATGTGCAGCTCACTGCTCCCATACAAAATCTGCGAGTTCTCTTTCCACGTCGGGAAACCTTCTGTTTTTTGGTCCGCGGAAACTTTTTTGCGGGCCGCGCCAAGCAAAGAGGGCATCCTTCTGCTTCTGCCAGCTGCGAATACTCCACTCGTTGACTTCGAACTGCCGCTCCGTTCGTTGACGCCGAAGTGCCGCTCCGCGCCACAGTTGCCAATGGTTTCAGCAGCAGCGATAACTTTTCTTTTAAAAGCAACCAGTACTGCTTGCTGACATGGTGTAAAATAACAAGAGCAAAATTGTGGCCGTCTTTATGGGCGCCAAGTTTAAGCAAAGGTCACTGACCACTGTTGCACGCGTGGTTCTGCAAGATTAATGCCTGCTACCGCTGCTAACACTGCCTAGCACCTAGCGCAGAAGAGCGCTAACCCGTGATGATGATGATAGCACCGCACTATGCTGAAACCAAAACTGAATTTCGGCCGAAAATTGTTGGGACCCACATATAGTACAGGGCCGAATTTCGTACACTATAATCTAGGAAAAAAAAAAAGGAGCGGTACGTGGCCTTGTGCCGCACTATCACTTGTTCTGCACATTTCGTTGTACCAGATCACCCATTGTTCATCTTCCCACCCTACTAAAGTCCCGACTATGGATTGTAGTATTCATAAATAAATAAATAGTTAATTAACGGCTATGTGTAACAATGTATTTATGGTGAAGGTATTGTTTACTTACTTCAGCATAACCGATAATTCGTTATATCCAAATTTGTTATATCGAGGTTTGCGTGCACTTTCATGTTTCTATCCCTCAAGAATATGCTTAGGAATTCTCTCCAACTTTGTTTTTCTGCAATTTCGTTTAGAAGTACTTGAAAAGTACTTGAGAAATGTTTAAAGAATATATCATTCCATTCAGACTCACACATCAATATTTGAATTCATTTTGCACCCAAAATTTTACTGTTCGGACAGCTCTACTTTTTTGTGTAGATAAACAGATCGTTCGCTAACACACTTGTCTGCACCAAGCCTCAGGAGCACAGACTATTCTAATATGTCATGCGCCTGTTTTTCTTTGGCACACCCCGACACTTTTGTTTCCTGTCTATTAGCTGTAAATTTAAAAACTTAAAGGATATGTTCATAGGCACAGCTATCAGCGTGGCTAATAGCCATCCTGATGTGATTTTCATGGATATTTTGGGGGGAAGGGGTTTAGTCATGAGGAGAGAGACGGTTGTTTGAGTAGGTGTTTTTTTCTTTATTGTGTTTCAGGCCATATTTAACAATGAATACTACGAACAGGAGGCTGAGGAGTCAAAGCCAGAAGACCCCTTGGATGAGGAACTAGAATGTGAGTGAGGCAGATGTACTGCAGATCAAAATTATGTTCACTATATTTTGCCTAGATTTTCCTGAATGTGCATTAAGCGCTTAATAAAGCAGTTACGTACTACAGCATGATTGTGTGTAAGGCCCCCGTGTGGCAGGTCATGGTTGGCATCCTTCAATGTTTTGATTATGGTTACGCATCAGCCAAATGAGATTTTGTGACCCCCTCCCATCTTCGCCACACAAGCTACCGCCGCGGGTGGTGGGAGAATAAAAAAGGCGCAGGAATTCACCAACCAAGCGGGGCCACGTTGGCACAGATTGGTTGAGCAGCATGAGAATGCTGCTTGTTCAAAGTTAGGCTTGTTCCTGCACTTGTCTTGGCTGCTTCAGCAGCTGCCGCCACTGCTCAATATGTACTCAATTTTATTACTTTTACGATTAATCGTGATCGCAGTTGCAGGAGAGGTAGTTTTTACGCATACAGCACAACTGTGTATGTAGTGTTTTGAAAATTGAGTTTCTCATGGTTTTTCAGCTTTCAAAGGCAGTACGCAGCGTAAACACCAGTGTGATAATGTGTTTTCAGCCCACACAAACATGGGAACTGGGTGTTTTATATGCCAAATTTAAAAGAAAGAAGAAGAAAATTGCTGCTTATTTTTACGGCGAGTCTGCTGTGGTTCAGTCTATAAAAACGAATTATGTGCATTAATGATGTACATAGCCCACATGTAGGTTGTTATACTGTTCGTTATATCTGATACTCTGTTGTGTTTGAGTATGTTGTAACAGTTGTAGACGGTAACTACCTCGCAACTTGTTGGTTTGCGGCACGCTTTAGTGGAAGACTGGGACCAGTGGCAAGGAGAAGATGAAGAAGCCAACGAGGAAGGAGGCGAGGTTGAGCAAGATTGGTCACAAAATGACAACACCTATGCTGGCTATAATGGTGGCGCTGGTGAAAACCAAGATGTGAGTCGTTCTTTTGATTTTCTAGAATTGCGGCTTGTGAATGCAGCTAATTCATGATGGCATACTGCCTACTGTCGAGGTATCTGGTGAGAAAAGGGGGGAATGCAATGTATATCATGTGCTCACAACTTAAGGGGAGATGCGAGTCAAAAAACACAACTTTTACCCTAAATTACAATTGTTTCGTTTTTTTTTCGCTTTGACAAATATAGTTTGACAAATATAGTCGTGGCTACAAAAACCAATGCCTCCTTTATTTTTTTCAATGCTAGTGGAAACGTGTGCTTCTTAACAAGAGCCGTTAGTCTGCCTTAATTCAGGGAATGGTCACTATATGAGGGGTCGCGCTGCTTGCAACACACGTGCTTCTGAGCGATTTCCCCTGGAGATGCCCAATCGAAATGAAATTTTCCGCATGTATTCCTTAACACAGGAAAGGTGCTAGTATCTCTTTTAAAACTTGATATCTCCTGTACAATTAGAGTTAGCATAAAGTGAGCAATCAGTTGGGCTGAGGATTCTAAGCATTCTCATCTAACAATTTTTCTTGTCCATTAAAATGTCTTATATGCAATTTGATAGTTATTTTCATTCTACAGTTAATATAGAGCGATATGAGCGAATAATGGCTGAAAACCATAAAAGTTTAGTCAAATGAAAAGTTTGTCCAAAGCCAATTATCTATTTAACATTGTCATGGCATCAAACTAAAAATGTGCAGCTTACCCTAAAACAAATCACATATTTGAAATCAGCATAAAAGCTTATATGTGCAACAAAACTTTCTTTACCCTGTGCTACAGATTAACGCAACTTTCTCTTTCGAATTGCATCTCCCCTTAAATGCAGTATGCACCAGTGTGGTGATAACCAGATACTATAGCCAAGCATACACAGCTGCCAAATAGTGTCAACAAGAAACTGCTTGGTATAGAGTGGTTGCTTGCGCGCATTGGTACGACACATTTGAAGGATACAGCACGCTGTATATGTCTCCTTCTTTGTCTTGTTTCTCACTTTTCGCGCTGTTTTCTTCCAATATGCTTAGTATACTTGCCCAAAAATAGCCAAACACGAAAATATGATATGTGAACACTGTTACCAGAAATAAATGAAGCCAAAAGGGTTCAACTGTAAAGCCAAAGATGTTTTTCGTTTGTGTAGGGCTTATTAACGCGATAGCATTAAAGAACTTGTTTCACAGAAATTATAGCACCGGCGTTGTTGTTTGTGAGCGAAAAATCGTCATCACATGCATGACTAAAAATTTGATAATGATGCAAATGAAATAAATAAACGATAAGGGAGAGGGGTGCAAACCAGGGTTGTTTGGGTAGAAGTGGGCATCGAATCCGGGTCGTTTTCGTGGCAAGCGGATGTTCTACCACACGGCCACTCCTCTGCTTGTGAAAACAGTGGAAAAGAACTTCTTCTGCTTGGAAATGCAGTGAAAGTAGCTTTCATGCTTCACAAGCACACGCGTCCTGTGTACATGCTTCACAATGCAACATGAAATATTGCAGTAATAATGCGTGGTACAAGCGTCTATTGCCAACGGGCATCAGATGATGTGATAATCATAATGGCTCCATGGTTGAAAGCTGGTACACCACTACAAAAGGCACACGTGCTACTGCGCCTCTTCTCTTTACTCTTTCGTTACTGCGCGAAAATAGTTGATTTAGGGGCAAAGCTCCTTAAGGCGTGAGCTGTGCGTCCCCTGTATGTAGCCACCTCCCATTTAGTTCTTGCAGTATTCACTAGATGGAGGCACTTGTATCTGATAATGAAAAGATGCAAGATGTTATAAACTAGACGGCGATACTTGTAGTTGATTATGAAAGTAGTTGATTATGAAAGATGCGAGATGTTATAAAATAGGAGTGATGTGGCGCGTGTCATTGGTGGAAGGCAATCGTTCGATTTGGTGCGGCGATGTACGCTAGGGGGAGCTTTGTAATAAAATCGAGTGGGCAAAATGTACGGAGGATTCATGGTTTACCAGGTTTACATCCGGAGCTACGCCCACTCATCATCATTCACTTCGTGGATATGGCGGCACTTTTTCATATTTCTTGGGAAGATCGTTTTTTCCAGTTAGAAAAGTTCTCCAGCATGCATTGCAGCATTCTAAACTTTTGTGCAACGAAATGCTCTTTCCAAAAAAATTATGTTGTAGAGCAACAAAAATATTTGAGGATGAATAAACAAGTGAAAGTGTAGAATTGTTGGTCACAAGCTGGTAAACAGGGCAATAAAAAACACTATATATGCAAAAATATTCAAAATAAGGAAAATTCAGAATATACATTTTGTAGATAAATGACCCAGGAGTAGTATAAAAAAATAATGAGTGTTGTACAAAAATGTTTCCCTTCACATAGACAAAGAAGATCAGAACCTAGGTGCTGCTTCGTTGCTCGAGCCAAGTGGTGAAGCATTGCATGATTTTTTGTGCGACACAGGTGTACTCATTGTACACTTTTTCTCAGCAAATATTTGTTGTGCTGTGATAATAGTCTCCTGGTGTTCCAATAGAGGTAGATGGATATCCGTGATGCGAGTAATCTCTCTATAAATGAGATGTCCTATGAACTTCGCAACTTCATCTATCGTCACCTCTCTCCATGAGCCACCTTACACTGCATAGGTTGGCGTTCCAATCTATGCATCCAAGCATATCTTTTTTGCATTTTTGCGCATATCGTTTCAAAAAAAAGGAGAATATCGTGGGCAGTTCCAAAACATTTCGCACTGTTCCGTAGTCAAGGCCAAGATGTGCTCCGGAAGCCTTCTTGTTAGGAGAATCTCTGCAGCCACCGTTAGCCACTGCGCCCCAGTGAAGTGTAGACCGTGCACGTAACCAGAGTAGCTATAGGATTGTGCGCAAAGGTCAGAAGCTATACGCACTTGGGGCGGAGGAACGGCTTGAGGATGTAAACAAAACAAACCCATGAACGGCTGGGGATGTATCAGGCTGACGCAAAACATCATCGCCATAAAACTTGAAGCTGAGGTGCTGTCATCCTCAAACACTAAGCTCGTCGTCACTCATTTAAGGTGGGGTTGCTAGACAGTTTCGAGCAGTGCATATGTTTTTCAGCGTTGATGTGCACCCATGTGCGCGTGACGACAACATCATAGGAGCGACTAGTGACACTAGATGCGACCCTGTGTTTGATATAACGATGCAAGCAAAACCAAAGCTGCTGGAAACTGTCATAGAAGGCCCCCTCAACACTTTAAACACGTGGCAGACCTTCGCAAATATTTTGGACTGAGCACTGGCATGCTGACTTTGGCTAGGGCGGATGAGGTTCTGTGCCAGCAGGTCGTGAATGCAATTGTCCATGATAGCCTGCTTCTTGGCATTCACTGGTCGCAGTTTGCATTGTAGAACAAATTTTTCCCGACTCCTAGGAACAGCTTTCTATTGAATATATGCATAAATTTCAGGCTATCATTACTGCTCAACATAGTCGAGCTGCGAAGTTGACAGTTTAATTCTATATTAGGCTTGCAAAAGTTCTTTTCAATGCAGAACTTTGATGTTACTGTAGCATAACCATGAGGGGCACGCAATTCTGTCAAGTTCGCAAGCCTAGTGCACTTTTCCAACAATACACGCACATTGGTTCGTGCAAAGGTCGGTCAAAAATCACTATGTTGTTGAAACGAGCCAATTCAAATTGATTCTGGAAGTTGAGTTGCTGGACTAAATGTTTGAAAGTGCTGGGTGCACGAGAAACAAATTTAACTTGCCAAAATCAACGATCCAAAAGCGTCGATCACCGGTGATCGATTCGGATAGGCGTGGTAACAAAAGAGTTAAGGCCACGTAGTGGGTGCATAGCAAATTCGAAAAGTTTTCATGCACTCAGTGTTTGAAGTACGCACTAGGAACAGGATGTCGCTATCACAATTAACTCTTGGGGGCAAACTAGTCTTAGACATTTTTGTTTATTTCTTTAGTGATCTTGATCTAACTGCACAGGATTATGCGTTTTTTTTTTTTGCTGATTTCAAATATCTAATTAGTTTTCCTGTAACTCATCTTGTTCCTGGGATAACTTAAGTTCACCCCCTATTGTTTAAGGCCACCATATAAAAAGAAACGGCTTAATTAAAAGTGATATTTGAGATATGCCAACATAGACTAATGAGTATAGAGTGAAAGTATGCTAGAGTTTTTTTGTTTTTAGGCCTTTCTTGGTTATATTACAGCAAAATGAACTATCTATTTGCAAAAGCAGTTGGAATTATATTACAATTTGGATGAGTAATTAATTAAAAAGGCTTGTGCTTTAAATTCTGCTTCCATACTTGCATTCTACACACATTCAGGTTTCCATTGTAAAAAGAATTATTGTTGTATCTGCCCAAGCTGCAGAGATAGTGAGGCCTCAAAATTGAACAGTCGTAAATGTACTTTTTTGAGAAAGATGGAAAAAACTGAAAACACACAGCTTTTTCAAAAAGCAACAATCATGGAGCACAAGTTTTGCAATCCTCATAAAGGTGCTTATAAATTCGTAGCAGAGCTTCTAACACAGCTGCTGGCCAATTATAAAGAAGCCTCGAAGTCGGTTTCGCATTTTTTTTGCAGGTTCTGCATGTTAACAACAACAAGAATCTGGATAGTTAGAATTACATTACAAAAAAATTACCACTTCCTGGTGTGTGAAAATTTGCAGAGAGATAGAAAAATACTTGCGGAAACCAAATATGTCAATTTTAAAAAATGAATTTTTTTTTGTCCCTTTTTGGTCCCAAAGAGCAGTCTGCCCCCTTAAAGGCGAAACTTTAGGGTCCCCTAATTTTTAAACATTGTGGCGTTCACTTTCTTGTCCTCGTCTCTTTTGCACTACATTTATGCCGTAATGAATCAGTACCAACTCGCTTGCCTTTTCGTTTTCCTTCACTTTATTAAACGTTTGAATTTTGCTCCACTAATAATGAACTTATGATAGTAAAACATATGACATTATAGTTCTCAGAGGGCACTTTTTGAATCTGAACCAAGTCATGGTTTCTCTTTAGTGTCCCTTTAACACCGATATCTTGCATAATTGATGCTTCACGAACCACCATTTCGTCTTCAAATATCATTTGCAATCCAGTAAAAACATCTTTATTGAATTCACACGAGAATTTTTTCTTTTTTCACATTACAGTTATTACTAATAAGATCTTCTATACCTTCCTTGCCATCACTGTCTGTTAGTTCTCATTAATATTGTGTCTACCAGAGAAAAACAAGCCCTTAAATTTCTAATTTTCTTTCTTTAGTGAGAGTGATTGAGCACTTGATATGTAGATTTTTTTTTCGTTACGTACCTGTAATTTTTCATTTTTTCATCTCCTTACTGTTACAGGATTTTGAATGGACAGGTGAAACAAAAGGCAAGCGTCGGAAAAAGTCCCATTTTGCCAAGGTTGTCAGCAGGAAAAAGCCACTGTTTGATCCATGTAAGCAAAGTCTCGCTACTACCCTTTCTGCTTTTCTTAGTGACAGTTGCTGCAGCAGTTACATTGATGTGTACAGTGAAGGTCAAAAGTTTGCGGACTATAGGAGTGCGTGTTGACCAGCACTACAGCGTCTTCTGATAGTTGCTAGTGAAGCTCGACTGTGCTGTTGAAGAGAGTGAAACTGGCAGTTGCCTGCCAGTCTCACTCTCTTCAACAGCACATGCACTGTAATGCCAGGAGAAGCGGAAAGTGTCACTACTGCTGTTGCCGTGGAGACATCGAGTGATGATATCGTGACAAAAACACGTAATTGTACTGCCAGTGCTTGGTGCGCGCCTCATTCTGCGCTTTAGTCTCAGTGCTGTGTCCTATGTTAGTACTTTCGTCCTGTCATTTGTGCTGCTTTAAATAATATGGAACCATACTAACAAGCCCAGCTGTCGACCTTGCCACAGTACACCGCCTTATTATTGCAGCAGAACCGCTTTTACAGAGGGTTACATGCAGACTAATGAATATCTAGTTTTCTTAGAAGGCTGTAGGATTTGGCGTGTTGGTGCAACATGATTATGAGTGCAAATCAGCGCAACCGACAGGAGCCCCTTCCGTCAATTGCACTGACTTGCATTCATAATGTATTTGTTCATTTCAAATACTTCAAAATTTCTAATTATTTAGTTTGAAATTAAAGTTGTTTAAATTATGCAATATTCGTTTGAATATGTAAAGTGCTCGATTATTCTCTCAAGCCTACTATTTTGTATGAGTGTCTGCCTGTATGTACTTCATAAATGACAATTTTAGGTATATGTTGATTTCTCTTACTTGTTCATTTTGGCTAATTAAAATAGTTTTTCAAAAGAAAAGGAAGGAGGAAAAGTGGAAAAGTGTTGATGTATGCAAAATATTGTGTATTGTTGGGCTGTCTTTCAAACTATTTAACCATCCTATCAATGTGAACATTTGGGTGGATTGGCGATTCATCATTGAAAATTTCAACAGCGCTGAAGGACACAAATGGGCGAAAAGCTTGTCTGTATCAGCTCCCTTCTTGCCTATTTGCATTTTTTCATGCTTTTTATTCATGCTGTTTTAATTTTCCTAACCATCCTGCATTGATCTTTATAACAAATGCACTATAAATGTAAATTTGATAGTGGAACAATGCTTTTATGTCGTGAAACTATGGCTGTTTTTTTCCCCTTTCCAGTGATCTCATAGTTCACGGGGAAATATATATATGTTTATTTATTTTGTATATAGAGAGAGAGTGAGTAAGAAATATGTTTGTATTCTAGTCTTTTAATTATGGGTTGCTTTTGTCTGATTTGAAATTTGTGTGTAATAGTTGAATAAGGCACTCCAGGGACTTCATATTTTTTTTTTTTTTTTTTGTAGCAAGCAAGACATTTGAGGAATACTTTGACGAGTACTACAAGTTGGACTTTGAGGACATCGTTGGAGGAATGCCTACCCGTTTTCGTTACCGTTCTGTCATCCCCAATGACTTTGGCTTGACTACAGAAGAGGTATAAACGTGCATTGTTTTTCTTGCTTGCCGACTTCTCTTGTACTGGTATAGGACATGCTAAAGCTCAAAGGTGTGTTATTTTGCAGATTCTTGCAGCAAAAGACAAGGAGCTCAATCGATGGTGTTCTGTGAAAAAAACCTGCCAGTACAGGTGAGATCAAAGTATTTTTGACATCATTTACTTTTTTTTATTGATTTACCTGCTGAAGGGTTATGGATAAATTAAACATTTTTCTCTAATATGTCTTAATTTTTTTTGCATCATAAGAAAATTGGTGTATATAAAGAAGAATAAATCGTTAGTGTGGCATGTTTTCATATTTCCAAACCACTAGCTTGTTTGTCTAACCACCTTTGTTGCTTCCACTGCTGAAAAGCACTGTGCAGCTAAACAATGCATGTAAGCAAGGCAGTTCAAGCGTGGAGTATTTATGCCATGTGGCTCAGGTGGAATATGATGGTTGCCCATATTGGTGCCATCACTATATGCTCTGGCTAGTGTTATCTATAGTTGCAGATTGTGCAAACAAACAAAAATGGGAGTCTAGGTTTGAAATTTTATAGCCATTCCGTTTTCCAAACAGAGTCATTTGAACATGCCTAACGGGCCCTGCAACACACCTTTTGAGCATAGTCAGAAAACTGCTGAGAGGTAGTTGAGGCTCCCGTAAACATGTGTGAGAAAATTATAGTGCAGCAGGTGCCCTGGAATTTACAGTAAAATCTCGAAGTCTGCTCAAAATCATGTCCCAGGCCTGGTATCAGCCATTGGCTGATTTTAGCATGGCGCGCTCGAACATTACTGGGGCTGCCGTGGAAGGCCTTCACTTGTCCACGCGTGTGCGCGTGATAGCATCGAGTCCTGCGTTCGAAGAAACAAAAAAAGAGAGAAAAGGTGCTCAAGGTCACGAAGCATGTGGAACGCATCTTCTTCCCCTGTGCCATCCCTCCCTGCTTTGCTTGCAGCGCTTTGTCGAGCCGAGAGAAAAAAGAACTTTATTGCAACATGCGACAAATCTTTATGACTGCGTTTGTACTGGACGGACTAAAAAAAAAGTCACCAGAATCAGCTCCGTAGCTTGACATTAAGCTAGTGCAAATGTTAGTTGTGGTGTCATGGGAAAAGGACTAATGTCTAAATATAATATCTTATGAGCATTTCCTAAGGTTTCACACTTGCCGAGTGCAGTCTCCACATGTAGGAGATATGTATTGGAATATTAACTCACCTCCAAAAAAAGGTGGCAGTACTCCTGTAAATGTTATTGATGATTTCAAATCACTTCTGTAGAAACCCTCAAATGGTGAAAGGGTTAACAAAGGGAAATGAACATCCATGTTGAATTGAAATTCACTTCAGAACGGATTTATTATAATATATGTCTCCATGTGCTTCAAATTATCGATGAATTGGCCATGGAGGTGCTAATAGCTAGCTTCCTGATTAGCTCTTTTGATAGAGCAACTGTCTCGCAAAAGTGTTGGTCGGGGGCAGTCTCGTAGCCAGGGTCAGTGCTCTGCGCCGCCTCACCTCCTGAAATTCTGATGGTGTGTTTTGATGAAAATAAGTTCCATAATGACAATAGGTGTCATTTTAGAATAGTCAAGAGTGCCCCCTCTCCGTACCCTTCAATAAGAATTTCTAGCTACAGGCCTGATCATGGGTTCGATCCCCAGACGAGGACAAATCTTTCTTTCTGAGAAATTCATTTGGAATAGCTTATAATTTCATGTTACTAATGGGTCATTGTCTATTTCTCTTTCTCTTTAATTATGTTGAAGTCCTGTTCAGTAGACTGCATATTTTAGCAGAATGTGGGGCGCAAAAATGACCTGGGCATAAAAAATGGCCAAGAAGAATATTAAACAATTCAAAAAGGTTTCCTTTAGCTCATTCAGTCCTTTTTCTAGAGTCTTCTGGCAAGTTATGGAAATGCAGATTGAACAGTTCAAAGAGGGTTCCTTTAGCTCATTCAGTTCTTTTTCTAGCGTCTTCCAGCAAGTTATGGAAATGCAGAATACGAATACCGATGACCTTACCACTTATCCTGTCCTGGTCTTTAACCTTTTTTGGCCAGTGAAGGCACCCTAACATTCACTTCAGAGTCGGTTTGTAATTATATGTGTTTATGTTGTCATGAATTTCTAACCTCAAAAGCATTCAAAAAGTTACTGCAAGACTGTCATGCCTCATTATTGCCTACTAGCCTATGCATAGTTAATGAATAACTCATCATTCGGAGTATGCACTGTTGCTAGTATTGGGAGTGGCTTAAACACAAGCTGCAGGAAAGGAAGAATACTGCTGTACTGCCTTACCGTATTTGCATTGCTATTTGCATACTGTATTTCCATACGTTGCTAAGATGCCTTGGTAAGCCAGTTTTTTTCTGCAGACAGTACCATTTATTTCTGGTTGCAATATTTGGCAACTTATATTAGCGAGCAGCCTAACGATAAGAACAAAAGTTCCAATTCTCTCAAGCAAGTTATCCAAGCTATATGCATGTATGTAATTGTTTTCTTGTCTTTCGTGTTCAGGACTGAAAATGAAGAGATGCAGGACCTACGCACATTTCAGAGGCGTGCCACTAATGATGCCTTGAAGCGAAAGATCTTCCCCAGTTTGTATGCAGAACCGTGAGTATTGTATTGTTTAAAAAAAAAAAACTTGTCTGTTAAAAAAGAAAAGTAGGCTCATGCAAATATTTAACACCTCAAATATTATATCATTACAATTTGCTAGGATTTGAATTTAAATTACTGTATTAAAAATTTAAAAGTATTGAATAGTAGGTGTAGATTAGTTTGCATGTAACCCTGTGCAAAGGTGTTTTCATCACATGAAAGGGGTGCTGCGCTATGAGTATACCTATCCAGGAAGAATCCGCACTACTGCGAAACATCACTTCAAGGCTAAATAAATGTATTGCTCTCACATTGATTTAGTTTAAAAGCTCGTTATGTGTGCTTTTCAAAAAGCGCCCTTTCAGAAGTGTCGAACGTCAGAGCAGTTTCTTTGGAAAGTGTGTTGATATTTTGACTTTTTTAATCTGTGTTCAGTCTCCTTCTATCGGTGGGATGAATGCCCACAACACTGGTCGGGGGAGGCAACGACGATTGTACGACCGCTGAAAGTCGAAGACTGAAACCGTGTGCGATTTTTGCAGGCTACATCAAGTTTCATTTAATAATAAAATGAATGCATTAGTAGCCGTCTAAATCTGGCAGACATTTTTCTTGTAGTTCTTATGAGCGGAGGTGGATGCAGTGCTCGCGTTTCTTTGCCATTTGCTGGCAGGAATGCGGGTAAACGAACATATCGCCAGCAGCACCACTGGGGGCCTCTTTTAAACGCCTGAAAGAGAAAGCAAAAATTACTCTCTGGCGCAACCTAAAGCTGCCTCAAGTGCGTAAAATACAATTTCAAGTTATAGATGTTTGATTTCAAGCGAAAGGAGTCTATCTGCGCAGATTTCTCATCCTGCCAGTTTGTCTACTTTCAACATCAAGTTAAAATTATAATTTATCTTTTATGAAACAAAAGCATGCTCGTTGCCATGATGAAGGATCTTCTAATTTTCGCACCACCAGAAAACTTTTTTTGAGTGGTAGATAATCCCTTTAATGTAAATTGCAGGTTGTCACTTGCATTCTGCCAAAGTGAAACCTTGCTACTTTATTTGAAGTTGCTTCCACCTCCTTTCAGCCCAAAAGAATGACATTTGAATATATACGCCTTGCTTCAGTTAAAAAAAATATTGTGGAGGTTAGTTTGATGATGACAAGTATGCTTATTTTTCATTATAATATGGGATATACTGTACTATTCTAATTATATGTGATATTATTCCACCAAACCACTGCTCACTTAAGTCCTAAGATTTACTAGTATTTGCGGAAGCCTAAAAAAAAAGCCACATCGTTTAAGGGGCACTGACAAAAATATTAGAGTGGCGTTTTATTGGCACATTATGTGCTATTAGCCAGAGCATGGCATGTTGCTTGCCATTAAATGAGACATTATTATTACAGTTTGTTTATTATTGATCAGTCTCCTTGATTTCAAAATGCTCCGAAAATGACAATCGGCTGTGTGCAACTAACACCATCTAGCATGTGAAAGCTGGTGAATGATCACAATCATGTGAGCACAAATAACTCTGGCGTGCGTGAGGTTTGTAGTGTCTGTGGTGTCTTGACTTCTTTGCACGTGCTGTCTCTCTTGGAATGAATGCTTGGCAACTTGCTCAGCTATCTGTTATTCTGAGAACCGTGGCACGCTTCCTTGCTGCACAATGTGCTGCACAATGTCATTGCTGTCATCATTATCATTGTCCAGGGGCAATGACTCTGTTGAAGCTTCCACACTCTATACACATATGCCGGGAGCCTGGACTTGCGAGCAGTCATTGATTTGTTGTTTACTAACACATTTAGTGCTCTTGGTAGTGCTTCCTAATCATATGTATGAGTTATCAGTGGTAGCAATCCAATAAGAAGATTTTTATTGACTACATACATGACATATGTTCTTTAAACCTGTCCAGAGAAAAACAATTTTGGCGAGGGAAGAAGTGACTTGACAACACTTCTCCTTCCCTGACTCTCTTTTTAACTCATGCCTCTGATTGGTGAACACTGAGCTGGTGTACGTACCCTAGTGTGTTGAAGTATGTGTGAGTTGACATGAGTATAAACATGAGCTAGCATATAGCTGATAGTAAGTAATGCTGAAGTAGAGTAGAGGGGACCATAGGTTGCCAAAAAAATGCGGAGCTCACTCCGGCTCAATCAAAAAATATAGTTTGCGACTCACTAAAAAGGATGAAAATTCGTAATTTTATGACTAAGAAACATGGAGCCAACGTTTTGTCAGCCAAGATTGCCTTTATTAGTGACAAAAGGCTTGTGATGGTGGGTGCTCATACGTTTGACAGGACCGAACGCTGTGCAATGTCACGTGTTATGCCCACACTACACAAAATGCCATATGTAGTTGGGGATGGAGTTATCACCCGCAGTTCTGGGTGAATTTTATTTATACCGTATTTACTCACATAATGGGTGCACTAGCATAACAGGCACACCCCCAGTTTTGTCACAAGAAATTCAACTGAAGCAGAACTGCTAGCCGGCCTAATTTGAACGACTTCATGGAAGTACTTTGCGCAGAACACGTGAGGACGAAGAAATTCTGTTATTATGGAAGTTTTCGAACCTGATGTCATCACAGGAACTCGTCCTCATACTTTACTTGAGCAAGGAAAAATAAAAGAAAAAATTGTTTGGCAGGGCCCGCCCAGTGAAGAAAGGTGGATGCCTGTTTGTCTGAGCAACCTTCACACCAGCGCCGGCATGCTCCGGCTGCGTGCTCTCCGCATAGAACGTGCAATGGCATTCTCATCAAGTGCACTTTTAGTTTCCTGTCAGGAAAAGCGTAGTTGTTATCACGTTTGCTACCTCATCCGCAAATTTACCGTAATTACTCGAATCTAACGCGCACCTTTTTTCCGGTTAAGCGAGTTCATAAATCGCATGCGCGTTAGAATCGAGTACGAACAAAAAATTACGGTCAATCTATTGCCATCGCAAATCCAAAATGGCCGCCCCCTACGTGCGTCGGCTATTTCTGCCTATGTGTTTACCATGTGCGGCACTTCGTACGTGTGCTGAGGAGTTCGTTATCTAGTAGTGCATTAGCATCGACGACGTGAAAGGGCCGACTCCCAAAACTCAAGTGCACCACGATGCCGCTTTTAAAAGAAAAGTCATCGCGTGTGCAGAAACGGACGGAAGTCGGGCCGCATCGCGGTCGTTCCCGAAACGTGCGTGCGGGACCGGCGGAAACAAAAGCAGAAGATTGTCGACAGCAAAGCCTCACGCGAAGGCTTCAGTGAACCACAGCAGGGTCGGTTTCCGCAAATTAAAGAGCTGCTCCGCGAGTATGTGCTTGAGGAGCGAGCGGCACAGCGGCCCGTGGCGACAGAACTGCTCCAAGTGCGGGCTATGCAATTAGTCTTAGAAAAAAGTCTAATGCGGAGCCAGTTTAAAGCGAGCAGGTGCTGGCTAATTAAATATATGAAGAGGAAAGGCTCTTCCCTTCGAAGGGGAACATGCATATGTGAAAACTTTTGCAGAGAAGTACGATGAAAAGCTTTACAGTTTTCAAAGGTTCGTCCTAAACTTGCGGCGCAACAACGGCTACCTGCTTGGGCAAATCTGGAATGCCGATCAGACGCCTCTTTACTTCGACATGCCTGGCACCACAACTGTCGAGAAGAAGGGGGCAAAGCAAGTTCGCGTGCTGACATCGGTCCACGGTAAAACTACAGTGACGGCAATGCTCTGTTACACATCAGATGGGCACAAGCTTCGCCCGTACCTCATATTTAGATGGAAGACAATCCCGAAAGGAATCGTTTTTTCGAGTGGTGTGATCGTGCGGGCCAGCGAAAAGAAATGGGTGCGCGTTGCAATCGATGTCTTACGTTTTTTTTTTTTTTTTTCGCGGTGGAAATTGAGTGCGCGTTACAATCGAGGGCGCGGTAGAATCGAGTAAATACGGTAATAGCTATTTAGCTTTCCGACGCGAGCTTTCGCTTTTGCTGCCACTATGCAAACTTGCACGAGCTCGGTGAACTTTTGTCGCCGTTGATGTCCTGGCTATGAACCTGTAGACATCATATCATGCATGTTACTTTTGGATCAGTGCTTGACTGCGATCTTTTTGACGTCTAATTTTCATGTTGTCTTGTACAAACATCGCACGACAACATGCCGAACCGTAGGCTAGGCTTAATCAGTGTTGGTTGCTTTTTGGCGGCAGTCGTGGTGCAAAAAAATTAGGTTGCAGAAATTTGGGAAAAGGCTCTCCTTACATTCAAGTAAATACAGTACAGCCAGCATTTAAAAAATACCAGAAATAAAGTCTGTTTATTGTGACAGTTACATCTTGAGAGTTTAATTTTAATGTCCTAGTAGTTTTTAAAAATTTTTCTTCAGTAATCCTCCGGCTTCCCACAATGGCGAGGGTTGTCCATAAAATATGGTTCCCAGGGAACTGCAGTAGTGACAAATGCTGTTACATGAAACAAGCGTAGCATCTAGCTTGGTTCCCTTCCTCCCTGGCAACCCATCTGTGATGCTCAGTCTTTGCTTGGCAGCCATTGGACATTGAAAAGTCTCACTAGCTTCTTCCGCCAGGTGTGAATTGCATTTTGTGGACCGTTCTTTTTTTTATGTGTGTGTGCAACAAACATTGTGCTGGCGGGCATTTGTTCCCTACTATGTGAAGTCTACATAGAAATGTGCATAACCGTACAACACGTGCAAAAAAACAATCACCATATACGCAAACTAAATGATGATTGGTAGGGCGAAGCATTCATTAGTCCATCCGTGCTTTTGTCCACCCGTGTGACCATCGGTGCGTCTGTCCCTCTATGCGTCCGTCCATGCGTCTGTTCGTGCAGCCGTTTCTCTGTCTGTCTGTCCGTGTGTCTGCCTCTCTGCTTGTGCGTCCACCAGTCCGTCTATCTGTATGTCCGTTTGTTCCTCCACTTAGTGAACACTCCAAGTACAGCCATCTCACATCTTTTCATCATGTGTTCATCATATACGAGTGTCGCCATCCAGCGGGCATTCTAAGGACCGCTCTTTCGGGTATGTGCCACCGGTGGCTACATACACCAACAGAGGATGGACTGACCCACACACTAAGGAGCTTCGCCCCTAAAATGCATATATGATGCTAAGAATACAAAGGTGGGCGTGCAGACGTTCATGACGAATATTGTTCTGGATGACCATCGGTTTCAGGCAAAACGATTGCAAATGTGTAAGAAACAGGGATGAAGGATTGAACAGTGACAGTTTGGAAGCTATGCATGGTGATTCCTGATGTCAGCAGAACTTGCATTGACAAAATTTTGACAAACCATTAGGTTATGCCAGTTTTATGCAAGACGAATTTCAGTAATGCTTGCAGATGACTGCAAATAGCAGCGTGTTGTGAAGTGGTTCGTGAATTTTTTAATGCCTACCAAACCATGGTATTCTTGGAATCTCCTGTCACTGGGGCACGAGGCCCGAGTTCACTACACAGCACCAGTAGTGAAACAACAGTCCCCTAAGTGAAAATATCAGGAGTAACCGACTCAGGAAGTTCAAAGAAACGCAGTCTGCGAGAAAAGTGACGGCGAGCTTTTCTTGGTGTAGGAAAGGGTTATTGTAGTGTAAATTCATGCTGGTACAAGAAACAATGTGTACCCCTGCTGAGAGATGTTGAAGAACCTTCTCAGCGCAATTGAAAACAAGAGGAGGGGCATGCCCACAAAGGGAGCATGTTCAGCCAGGACAAGCTAGTGCATTTCAGTCAGAACAATCCGATCAACAAATTTGCTTGGGATTACTGTCACACTCCTGCCCTACAACCCAGACTTAGACCTAGGCAACTACCATCTCTTCCCTGATTGGAAGAAACGCCTTGGTGGGACACTAGACTAGGAGAGCAGCTAAAAGAAAGGATTTTAAACTACTTTCCCTGTGCGGCTGGAATTCAGGCATGAAGAAGATGGTAAACTCCATGTAAAAATGCATTGATTATGATAGTGATAATGTCAGAAAATAGGGGGAAAATTTAGGATTTTTAGAAATGTATCATTAAATTACAATAAACACATTTTTCATTGGGAAGAATAATTGGGAATCTTATTTTAAGGACAACCCTCGTATACTAGTAGACTCCTTTTCAGTGTAAGGCTGCATATTTTGCAGTGATCGTGCTTCACTAATAGTTTGTTCTTTATTTCAGTACTGAGACCAGTGAAACGCCGTGCGAGGAACAGAGCAAAAAGAAGAGACGAAGAAAGAAGAAATCTGGGCTTGTTAATAGAGAGGCTGCTACGGAAGAGCGTGTTGACAAGTCAGACACCACGTCGGCATCAATTACTCCTGCTTCTTCTTCAGACGTTACCGTGGCAAGCAAAAAGAAACGGAAGCGGAAAACTTCCACTCATGCTGAACCTTTATCTGGCAACAGTGATGCACCGCCTGCAAGGCTCATTCCTGTTAACGGTGATGTTTCTGAACCTTCCAAGAAAGTCAAATCTGATCACCATAATTTATCTGCCGTGCTCAGTCAGGTCCATGCAACATCTAGAAATGGAGACATAGCTAGCAAAAACGGCAACACACAAACGCTGGCTAACCGTGAAATGTCTGCAAGCAAAAAGAGGAAAAAGAAGCCAAAGGGTGTGAAACAGCTATTGCCACCTAGACAAAACATCCCAGTTCCAGCGCTCAAGGTGTCGGACAACAGGCTTAAAGCCTATGGTCTGAACCCCAAGAAGCTCAAGAAACAGTTGATATACGGCAAGAAAAAGGACAGCTCTTGAAGCTTTTTAGGAGAGAGCCAGGATACAGCCTTTATGTTGATAGACAATGCTGAATGTTGCAGTTTTAATGTAAATATAGACCCTGTAAATACTTCTTACAGTTGTCTGTGTTTCTATTTTTTCTGTCTTTGTGATTCTCTTGATAAGTGTTGATCACTTCATGGGATCCATTACATGTGCTTGTCCTGAAGATATTGCATTTGTACACGTTTTTTTTTTCTGTTATTCAGAAATACTGTACATGCCGAGAAGAATTGAGTAAGGGGGTTACTGGGGTACCAGAAGTGAACTCATAAGGAAATGTTACAGTGCAGGTTAATAATTACAGCAAAATACATTGTAACAAATTCAACGATGCAGTAAGTCATTGCAATGTAACAGTGTACACAAAAAAGCAGATTACTGTAGGTTGATCAAAAGAAAGTACAATACTTTGCAATATAAAAAAGCTTGAAAGTTAAACAATAAAAAAAAATCTTTTTACACTATGTCAGTAAGCTATATCTCGTGCTTTTGCCCAAATGTGTAAGGGTTACTATCAGAGGTGATATAATTAGGAAGGTCACTCATTATATGGATGGCTTGTGGTAATGCTGGTGTGTTTAACGCATTTGCGTTACCAAAGATGCAGGGGAAGCCAAGATGTTTGTGAGCTGCATGATGTGTATAGAGGACGTTCAAGGTCCAACAAGGATGTTTTTTTTTTATTGTAGACACACTGATGAAATATGGATAACGAGTACACTTGACGGCGAACACATACGTGCGTAGAAACCTAACACCTTGGTGTTTTTTTTAGTAATCTTTTCACTATTTTATGAATCTGCATATTCGTATGAAATTGAAATATTTTGCAATTACTAAATGCACAGAAGCATTGAACCCCAACATTGAACCCTATTGTCATTGTTATCTGGCTTTATGTGACGTGGCAGAATATTGTGAACAAGGCCATAGCTTCTTAACATGATGTCCTTCAAAGCTTTGCATGCACCTTGACTTACTTTCCTGAATGTTCATTTGTTTCCCCGCTTGTTGGTGTTTAACGGACATGTCAAACGTCTGCATCTCGCTGCTGACAGTAGTGGGAAACCTGCGCCAATTGCACCAACTGGAAATCACTGTTCTATACTGCTCGAAAAAAGTCTTTTTTTGTTGTCTAATTTGAGCCATTGCTGCGCCACAAGGTGGTTTTGGCCTCGAAAGTAATGTTTACAGCATGCACCGTGAGTGGATATTATGTGATTGTCGCGATCTTGTACTTGCGCTGCTGCAAAAGCATAGAGCTTCCTCAAATAAACTAGAGGGGACACTGGCGCTGCGATTGTTCAGCGACGATGGGAATTATGGGTATGGCATGGATTTGCCTAGTGTTCGAGCTTGCCGGTGGCAAACACGCTTGTGGCTTCGTTTATTGCGGCGTTTCAGTTTTGTTTCGAATAACAAATCGTTTTTCACTTCGTGACCCGATTTGAAGTGGTAAGCCTAAAGGATTAAGGTGGTGAAGCGTAACTGCCGAACATTTGACGATTGTTGTTTTGTGGCAAAGCAGCTTCAAACCACGCGAAGCCAGAAAGAACGTAAAGTACGGAGACTAGGCAAATCCGTGTATTACCCATCATTCCCATGCTCGCTGAAGCGCCATGCGTTGAAGCTTCCATAGACACTAGCGCTAGAGTTCCCTCGAGTATATATATATATAAGAAACTCTTGTGCAAAAGCATGGAATCGGCCGATCGATTATTCAGACTTCCGCCCGATTGCGGCGGTACCTTTTTTTTCTTCGCAATTATTGGCAAAGGACGAATGCGATGTGGCGACTACCGAAAAGCGCGCCAGTATGACTTATCGCTGACAAAAAGCCTACGTGTGTGGCCTGGCAGTATAGGCGTGTGCGCAGGACTCTTTTTCAGTTCGTGGAGGAGGGGGCGAAGTTTAGTTGCAGCACCCTCCCCCCTTCGTAATACATGAGTGCATAGGATAGACTTAGCGCCCGCAATCTCTATTAAGTCAATGTATGGGGCAGATTTCGCGCCCGCCTTCCCACCTCGTGCGCACGCCTGTGTGTGGCGTAGCGCTGCTTTAGGCTGACTGCACGCATCTGCACGTTGCATCTTGCAGTGGTTTTTGTATGAAGCTGTGCACAGCATTGAACTTTAAAAGAACACTGACACGAATTCGAAGTGTTTTTAAATTGCAGCTCCCAATATAAACAACGGTGTCGAGAGCCCTTAAGTGTTGTGGTGCTTGGGAATGCATCAGGTGTATTTCTAATACCGCGATATTAAAGAAAAAATTACACCATATGCCACGTAAGCCCTGTGGGGATGCGAAGCAGTGCTAGCATACCTGCCAAGTCTCCTGCATTTTGGCTATTTTCTACGTGCGTACGGTTGGCTAGAAAATCTCCCGGAAATTGAAATTTCTGTGCGTGGTCTGGCCGCATGAATGAAAAATCTAACCCAATCCGATCCAGGCTTCTTGCGAAACTGTTAGAATGTCGCATTTTTATTTAAACGAATTGGGAGGCGTTGATGTACACGTACTGTCGGCGTCAAATGAAACCAGACCAGCGACACGCCTTTGCAATGGCGCGTCGTCCGGTTATCACCATCGACAGGCGCACGCATCCTTTTCTGCATAAATGCGTGACTGCCCACGATGATAACTAGACAGTGTGCACTATAGACGATTTTCTGCAGCTGATTTGCTCATTCAAATCTACATGCGCCACAACACCGTGGGCGTCCCCTTACCATGGCTGTCTCTCTGCCGTGGCTTTCTGCAGCACTGCTCAACAACCGCTTCGCGTCGTCTGCTACGGGGCCGACGCTTCAGTGAAGCAGACGCTTTAGGGACGCAGGGCATATACCCCTCCCCTTCGTGCATTTTCTGCTTACAAAGAGCTAACCTAGATTATATCATGTAAGGGTGTACTCGAAACCCACCACCCAATTCTTTACACATTAATAGTAAGGAGCATTGGGAGGCTGCTATGTGCAGCTCGCCACCCGAGGTCCAGGATCAGATCTTGGATTGGGCCAAGAGGGTAGCGGAGACCTACGCCGGGTAGGCTCCTCTGACACTCCACCACCGCACCTTTCCCTTTTGGGATGAATAAAGTTTTTCTCCTCCTCCTCCAGGCATACGGCGCGACGTGGATGTTCAGCAGTGCTGCAGAACGCCGCGGCAGAAGGACGGCCATGGTGGTAAGGTCCCTAGATGAAACAAGTTTCCTTACATGGTGGGGACCTATGACGGCACCTATGTGTGCAATTTCCATTGGCGTCGGTCTTATCATGTCGTTGTCCTGCGCTGTGTGGCTCGTAAGTTTGCAACGCACGCGTTCATTTGCTTTGTATTTACGCCCTGAACCTTCGAAAGCAATGTATTCGTTGGTATTTTGCAGCGTTTTCTAGATTTATGTCAAATTCTGAGAGACGTGGCTTAGCAGGAATGTCTAAATAAATGCAGCTAATTTTGTAATAAAGAAAGTGCATACATGATGTCTGGTCCCCAGCGTGCGATGACGCGAAGCGGTGGCTGATTTCACTATATATTTATTTGACGACAGTGGGTGAGGAGCAAGCGTGAGCATGCATAGGCACCGCACACTGACCAGAGGGAGCTGCGTTGCCTACACTGCTAAGGTCCGTAGATGAAATAAGTTTCATCTAGGTACCTTATACACTGCCCCGTCTCAAAGTTTCTGACATTCGCCGTTAGGGGCACGCAGAAAAGAGACGCGTGCTCGCGTCCCCAATATATCCCGGGCACAATCGGCCGCCAGATGCATGGCGCGAGACGCGCGCGTCGCGTTCCATTTTCACGGATGCTGTCTCAAGGTTTCTTTTTTTATCTGCTAGGCTATGTATTCTGGCGGTGCAGTCAGACTGGAAAACTCGAGTGGACGGTGCCTATCGAAGCGGGTGGCCGCGTCTGCACAGGTGCTGCCGTGTTGGCCTCTAAACCCATTTACTGGCGCTTACGGTCACGACCGTAAGCACCCAATGGGTTCGGCTGGCAACTGGCTGAGAGACCAGTTTACCGTCCAGTGTGCCCGCGAGAGGGCCGTCAGGCTAGACCTGCCGGTCCCCACATGGGAGTAGCCGGGTGGCAACCTCAGCGTCTGCACTGGACCATATAATAAAGTTGTTCTCACTCACTGACTCACGTGATGAAACATGGCAGTGCGCGGGTGCCGCTGCGAAAAATCGTCTATACCATCGCGAAGGCTTGCCGCTGTTAGGGTTTCATTTGACGCTCATAATATAATATAATCTCATTGGTAAGAACTCGTGAAATCCCCCCAGCCGAATTCTACCGTGTTTAGTGGGCCAAAATTCGGATCTTCTGAACACTTTGGCGCGTTGCGCTGGGTGATACAAACTGCGCTGCAAACCATCGAACAATAACCGAGAGCAACGTGCTGGTAGCTTTATATAAGACGCGCGCGGCCAAGGAAACCGTAGTCACTTGACGTGATCAGACAGAACTCCGAAATTGTATATGAGTCCAACGCCCAACCAGTCAAAGCGACGCTTCACTAATGACGTAACAGCGTGAGATGTAATAATTGATAGCAAAAAGCGGCATAATTTTGAATGCACGTGCGAGGATTATTAATGGAAATGCCGTTTGCCGCAACCGCCGTGAGCGAAACCGTTGTCAGTGGGACGCGATTATCGATCGAGTTCCGATGTTACGCGGCTAACGCAGAGGTAGATTAAGGCGTTGCAAAAAGGTACAAAGCGTTTCGCTGTTCATCTCGGTCTTCGCTTATGGCTACGCTGGAGCGGACTTGGCGCTTTTCAATCGGCCTCAGGCGAAGCTTTGACGCGCACTTTTGCGGCAGGCAGCTGCGCCGTCCTCTATTGGCTCATTCACGTGTGCCAAAAGACAAGTTTTTTTTGACGGAAATATTATACTAAGTATCGGGTGGTGAGGATGATTTCGATGTCGCTTCGATGTAGCACCGATATTCTGCTGTAGTGACACGCCCTATAGCTTTGTAAGCGATTATAAGACCACAACGCCAATGTTTATTTACGCTTACAGGACCGTTCGTGACCCCCTCCCCCCCTTTTTTTTCGTGATGTTTTCTTTTTCTGTTTTGAGAAATAAAAAAATGGCAGGGCAAACATCCCCCCCCCCCCCTCTCCGTTGCGATGATCTCCGAATTGGTATCCTTGAACTTGACCGGTATGGTGCTAGTGTTCACCTGTGTTTCCATGTGTATGTTTCTGTGTATGTTTTATTTGTGTGTGGATTTGGGTATATTTTGCTAACGCTTATGGTACCCCCCTCCCCCCCCCCTCCCTTTTTGTTCGTGTATATTACCGTGTATGTGCCTCAAAGTGAACACCCAGCGCTGGCACAACTTTGGCGGAGAGATAAACGGGCGAGAAAAAACGAATAGGATGCTGTGCTATGATAAGGCAGATGCTTGGGCTAGTTGGTGATTAGGAATCAACATATTTGACAGCGCTCTGCCACCACGTCGCATTCACACGAGAAGAGGGCGGAGAGTTGGCGTGCGTGCAGTAAGGGTGGCCATGCCGCGCACCGGATCACGGTGTTAGAAGCACCGGATTGAACTCCACCATTAAGCTGCTTCGCATCTTAAGAAAAAAAAACAAAAAAAACGTTCGGCTTCGATATTGAGGGAGCGGCTTTTCATTGGCTTGTCATCGCAGTTTGACATCATAGGGAGACAGAAACTCGCGACGTACTAAGGGCAAGTCTGGCATCTGCCCGTGGGACTAGGAAGTTCAGAAAAATGTCGTTCAGTGACCGCGGCAGTGCATGATTTATGCAAGTTTGGCTGCGTGCTGGAGGCAGAATTCGCAAACTCAGTTGCACTGTGTTGATTGGTCGGGATAATGTCCATCGCGGTGGGGTTAGCTTGCAGATGCTCAGCAACAAAACGTCCCAAAACTACCATATGATAATGTGCGTTTCCGACGTTACGCGCGTTCATGTAGCCATTTTTATCAACGCGCTCCGCACTGTCTTCATACCATGGCCGCCGCAGAGCGAGCTCGGAGCAAACTCGTCTACCTGGGAAGCTCAGATCAGGCGCGTAGCCAGAGTTTTTTTTTTTTCTCGAGAAGGGGGGGGGGGGGAGGCATCATCTTGATTCTGGAAGGGGCACCCCCTTAGGATGGCCATTTTTCGCTATCTTCCATGGCGAAAAAAAATTTCGGGGGGGGGGGGCACGTGCCAGGTGTGCCACCCCCTGGCTCGGATCATCCTGCATAGCACCCCAGGAAGTGGACCGCGCTTGGCTGGTTGCTGTGGTGAGGGTGGAGTATAAAGCAAAGTGCAGCCGATTGCGCACACGTGCAATCGCCGTGGTCCGAAAGTGTCGATGGGCACACTCTGTTGCCGTGCTGCTTGGCACCTTGCTCGCACAACTGCGCCTCGCTGTGCACCGGGTACCGCGTGGCAGAAACAAGACACAAAAGAACACGCGGCTCGTCGCCGCAGTTATTTTTGGGTGCCTTTGAGGGGAAACCCAAGGTTCGCAGAGTCTTGAAGGGAAAGGCTCTCGTACTTTCCTCCTTGCCCCTGGCACACGCGGTAGCCTGCTCTCGGAAAGGCCGCCGGCGAGCGGAGAGAGCAACCGAAGACATGGCGGCTTCCACCGGCTCGTGGTTGATTTCTGCAGCTGCTGTCTCGAGGTGAGAAACTTTTGTCTCTTACGTAGTTCTCGCTAGAGATCCTGCCAATCTCCGGAAGGTAGCATGTATGTGCACGACTTCGACGCCGTATGCTGTGTGCTAAGCTATCTGGGCGTTTTGCGTCTTCGAAGTGGTGTCGACTGTAGTCAGCTGTTGTGTGTGCGCGTGTGTGTGCGTGCGCGGACACGGCGCAACGCATACCTCGTGACAATTACGGGCCTCCGCTGCGCATTAAAAGCGAGCGTCCGTTTCCTTGAAGTGGGGTTGAGCACAGCTGACGCGACTTTCGTTTCTGAACTACTCTTTGATGGTTCTGATTTCTTTAGGGCAGTTGTAGTCTGAGGGTGCACTGGAACCTCCAGGCAAAATCTAAAGACATTCATCGTCCAGAGGTCTTAAATCAAACTTTCCGGTACAACTAACTTCCCTAAACCAGCAAGATATCTATAATAGCCACGGCGGCAATAATTTGCTAAGTTGGCCCTCAGCCAAGATGGCCGGAGATTAGTTGCGCGTGGTTGGACCAAGTTTACGCGTATCTGCGCTGGTTCTGCATGTTAAGCTAGAAATAATGGCTTAACCTTTATATCCCATGCGTGTCTCAAAATTGGTTGAAGCGCTGTTGAAAGCAGCGCATTATGTTGCTAATCTGTAGACATCCCGATTAAGGCGGGACATGTGCCGCTTTTGTGGCTGCAGTCCCGCCAACCTATAGCTGCGGGATGCTGTTTTGTTGCGCTTTCGGCTGGTCAGCTATTCTTCCTCTCTTTATTTATCATATTATCGCTCTCTCGCCCAAAGAGCGTTATGCTCGTTCCGCTACCACGTATATAGCCGAGTGTTTGCGACACTTACATTCGGAATCCTGCTTCCCTTCCCGCCTCGAAGATTGATTGTTTTTAATTTAATTCTCCTCGCCTCCACCCTCCTCCGCCACGCTCTTTATGCCACTCTTTGCTCCTCTTTTTCCTTCTATTTCCCTCGCAGCTGATCCACACGGAAGTTGGGCTTGCCCACACACGCCCGAGTCTTCGTGTGCACTATGCAGACTACTGCAAACCCAAAACAACTGCACTGCTGAAAGTGGAATTTTCTGTAAGCTATAGGAGAGTTGCACGTGACGTCATCCGCTTGGGGCGCTAGCGACGTTTCTCTCTACCATAGAGTTTCCTAATTTACACGAGAGGGAACTCTGGCGCTAGTGTCTATGGGAGCTGCAACACACGGCGCTTCAGCGAGCATGGGAATGATGGGTAATACACACATTTCTCCAATATTCGTACTTGTGGCCTGCTTTTGGCTCCGTGTGTGTTCGTGTGTCTTGAAGTTGTTTTTTCACGAAACAAATATTAGCAAATGTTCAGCGGTTGCGCTTCAGCATCCTATTTTTCTAGACTTTCCTTTCGAAATCGGGTCATGAAGTTCAAAAGGGTTGAATATTTCTCTCAAAAGAAAACCTAAACACAGCAATAAACGAAGCCGCAAGTACGATTCGCCGCCCGCAAGTACGAAGACTGGGCAAATGTGTGTACTACCCATCATTCCCATGGTCGCTGAACGATCGCAGCGCCAGAGTGCCCTCTAGTTAATTTTGGGAAACTCTATGGTCTCTACCGCCATGTCAGTGGTCTGGGCGCGCCCTTTTTGAAGCGGCAGCGAGAAGTGTGCGTGCCGGTGCGTACGTGATGAAATGCGACTGAGTGCTTACGCGCGTGACCTCCGAGGTCCGACGAAACTCTGCTACGAACATAAGGTTCACCTTTGCGGTGGCATTGCTCCGTCGTGGTGGTCTAGTGGCTAAGGTACTCGGCTGCTGACCCGCAGGTCGCCGGATCAAATCCCGGCTGCGACGGCTGCATTTCCGATTGAGGCGGAAATGGTGTAGGCCTGTGTGCTCAGATTTGCGTGCACGTTAAAGAACCCCAGGTGGTCGAAATTTCCGGAGTCCTCCACTACGGCGTCTCTCATAATCATATCGCTGTTTTGGGACGTTAAACCCCACATATCAATACATCAACCTTTAAAGACTACCTTGTTGCCGGCACAAGCTTCGCAACAAGGGATGAGCTTAAAGCCTATAAATCGATAGATGCCCAGAACTATATGACTAGCGTGCGGGTCTAACAGCTACGAGTTAGAGACATCGGAGACGGCCGCCGCGTCGTCGGAGACGGCCACGAACTGGCATAGCTCGTTCGTGGTTGAACCCAAGCCGCTTTCGATTAAAATTGCTCGTTGCACATATCCAGGAATTCGGGATATCGCTTTTAGTTCGCCAGTTTTCACACCACGTGGCGTATGGACCTTCAACTATCAAAAAAGGCGCGATAACGTACGCCGCACGACAGACAAAGTGGCCAAACATAAAAAGAAGCAGTTCGATGTCGACTATCGCGACCAAGAGCGAACCGTGATCGCTGACTGATAAGCGCAAGTCGTACCACAAGAGGTCGGTTGGTTGCTCGATTGGAAATCGAGTGTTTTTTTTAAGACGATAGTCTTTCTTGAAGACCTTCGACACGAAAATTCTGGTCTGTCTGTCTGTGCATTTGTCTATTTGTCCACTCTTAACGGCTTTGGGTTCTTAAAACGGCTGACCCGATCCGCCGCGCCCACCAATGTTGCTCAAGATTTAGCGTTCATACTTGTGCAATGATGAATTGATAAGCAATTATTACGCAAGTCTGGGGCACAATAACAACACGTATATATTCTGCATGTGCATCTTTTACTAGAAAAGGCATACACAACTATTTTTAAGGACCATAGCGCTTATCACGCTGCGCTGACCATGCAACCCTTGCACGAAAAAGCCGAGTGTTTCCAACGCTTTGCTAAAATGAGACGGTAGTGGCACCTACCCGTCGCCTTGCGTTCTGCACTTTATCACTTCTGACACGGGCGCGCACACCCGTCTCAGAGCCACGCGCTTTGTTTTCCAAGAAAACTGCTAGATGGCGTTCATGTCTCACGTGTGCCGTGACTTGATGCGCTCGTTCGCCTCCGCTGCACGCTCGAGGCACTTTAACGCAGCGCCTCCAGAATACCATTCACCGATTTTCTTGCGCAGAACATTAAATAAATGTTTTGTTCACTCTCTCCACACGGAAGACTATCGTCTTTCGACGACATTTGCAGATTAACATGCAGATACGGGGCCAATTTTTTTTTTACGAATTCGTGCGGGCAAGTCACTTGGTTGTGCTTGAAAAACTCCTATTTTGAAAGGGAGTGCTGCCCTTCCTGTCATCGGTTTCAATATATGTTTTGTCCGGTTGTATAGTCGGCGGCACAGGTTCCTTGATTGATTGATTTGTGGGGATTAACGTCCCAAAACCACCATATGATTATGAGAGATGTCGTATTGGAAAGCTCCGGAAATTTCAATCACCTGGGGTTCTTTAGCTTGCACCCAAATCTGAGCACCTGGGCCTACGGTGTTTTTGCCTCCATCGAAAATGCAGCCGCCGTAGCCGGGATTTGATCCCACAACCTGTGGGTCAGGAGCCGAATACCTTAGCCACTGGATGAAAGGTCGAGATTGCACCCGATGCGCCGAAAATTACGTTAGACTAGAGCTATCCATAGTAAAAGCGACGAAATACGAATCAACATGCGTCAAAGTAGATTGTGGTCGTGAAAATACAAAATATTTTATGGTTTAATGACCCAAAACTACGGTATAATTATTAGGAACGCAGTAGTAGAGGGCTCCGAAAGTTTTTACCCCATGGGATTATTTAAAGGCCTGACCACACGCATCAGTTGCAGTGCGTCAGCGCAGAGCTTCTGACTTGGAGCCACGTCCTCTCCTATATAGGGAGAGGGAATAAGGCTACGCGAAACTGCGCACCCACTCTCTTCGCACGGAGAGGGCGCGGCGCCGCGTCAAAATTCCGTGCGCTGATGCGCTGCAACGGGTGCATGTGATCAGACCTTTAACGTGCACCTTAATCAAGTAAACGGGCCTCAAGCATTTACGTCTCGACAGAAAATGCAGCCACGGCTGCCGGGATTCGATCTCGCGAGCTGCGGGACAGCACTTGATCACCATAACCATGAGACCAGCCTGACGAGTATAAGAGTTCTGGATGAGATCACTGATAACGCGAATATAAATGATCGACCACAGATGCAGTAGGCGTTGAGCTCAGCGAAAGAAGAGTCTCTATGGAGTACGCCGTAGAGGGCGAGTACCTGCGCGAGCGGTCTCCGCGGCCGCCCGACGAGGAAGGGGAGAACGACGACTCGCGGGCCTTCATCGGCTTCTGGCCTCGGGCGCTGGTCGACAGCGAGGCGCCGGACTCGGAGCAGGGGCCATGGGCGTCGCTGCCGGACGTCCTTCTGGAGACTGTGTACAGCATGGTGCCCATCGCCGACCGGTACTCCATGTCGCAGGTGCGAGGTCGTGTTGTGGTTTATTCAGACTTGTACTGCTGTAGAAGAAAGTGATGTTGAGCCTGTTGGTATAGCTTGGAAAATTGACGGACCCAGCCTGCAAAGACCCATACAGCCATAGGCGTGCGCAAGGCTCCCCTTGTGGAAAAGGCGAGAGTCAAAGGTTCCTCACAACGCCCCTCCCTGCTTATCACAACGTAGGGGCCTGACTTTGCGCCCCCAACCTCTCAGGTGACTAGGGAAGGCTCCTGCCCCCTAGCACCCCCCCCCCGTGCACACACACACACACACACACACGCACACACACACACACACACACACGCACGCACACACACACACACACACACACACGCACACGCACACTAACCGCTTTTGTGGGACATTGTCTCATAACAATATATAGCATAGCGAATGCCGGCCTACAATCCTATTTTTTTATTATTAATGCCGTAGTGGGTATCAAGCAAGTGTGCTTGCAGCAGTTACTTAATGAGTGTTTGGAACAGGCTCTGAAAGGCCGCTTTTCTATAGCTTTCGCTGTGACTGCGCCTTCCGCGCAGGCCTGTAGCGTTCTTTAGCCGATATTTTGACAAAGTCCCCTTCTTTTTCAAAAGCATGCCTTGAAAAAGACGGGGCTCCCGTGTGCCACAAAGGCCCCTGTCTAGAAGCCTTCGTGGCAGGCTTTATTTGGTACGGTACCGCACCTGGTCTAAATCGGCTATGCATATAGCCGGCATGCAATAAATGACTCAGGTGTACTGGCGAGGCATTCTAACACGGTTACAAGCTTACCGAAGAGCAGCAGAGCAGAAGTCACTGTTAGTAAAGTGCTTGAATACATGTGACTCTTTCCCATTAAGCTTGATTATCCACTTTTTCAGCTGTGGGTCCTTAGGATAGTTGTGAAAGCTAACGCCCTTTTCATGGGCGGACGAAGTACACTGAGGCGGAGACAAGCAACCGCAGTTTCTAAGAAAGAAAAAGCCGTGTTTCTAAAATGAAAGTCAACAGCGGACACCTATGGTGGTTTGAATAGCGTCGGTAGTCACCGCACTCAGCACAACCAACTGAATCACTTTGTTTTTGAATTTTACCACGACGCTGGGCCTAATTAGCCGACGAAAGCGCGAATCGTATCTGGCATCTTACAAGTGCGGTTCACAGGGCTGCCATAGGTCGCACACAATATTACAGTGACGTCACACTAGATCTGTCAGGTGACTGACCTCTGGATGTCTGCCGCATACGTACAGCCAAAGCATCGCGACTGCTGCAGCTAGCCATGACAACTGTTGGCACGTTTGTTTTGCAGGTGCTTTTGTGGCACGTGTGTGCGAAAGCAGATGATACTTAGCACGACATGCGTCACAGCCTTGTGTGATCGCATGACCAAACCACCTACACTGCTATTGCGCTGCTCAGAAACCGAAACCGATAATTGTCCACATAAATAAGATGTTAAAAGATTTAGAAAGAATAATTAATCTTAATATGCGTATCATGTTTATCAGAGCTATAAGAAATGCTTGTAGCAAAGGACACGCAAGCCACAAGTACGGTGGCACCCCCCGTTAAGTGTATGGGGCCCGTAGGTGCCAAGAGACCTGTAGAGGTCTAAAAACGTCATACATTCCTTTTTTGTTGCTACCTTGGCTTGTGTTCGTTTGCAGCAGTGCATATTTGAACTGGTTGGTTCATGATTATGTAGAAAAAAAAATGCTCGCATTGTTTTATTTTCACTCGTAGTGTTCGTTTGTTCGTAAGAAATGTAAGCCTCTCACCAGACGGTGTTCCATCGAAGCCTGGACAATACGCACCATTATACGTGCAGGTCTGCCGGAACTGGTACCGCATCTTCTATTCGCCTCGCGTCTGGTCAGTGTTTGTGCTTGACGATCGGACCATGACGCGACGCAAGTTCAACTACTACATGGGCTACCAGCACCTGCTGGACCACTACCGGACACAGGTCTGCGTGCACAAGATCGGCCGTCACATCCGGCACCTTCTCATTCCGGCCATGTCCAACTTCTTCAACCTGTACGAGTTCATGGTCATCATGGCCTACTTCGGTGAGCGCAACAACGCGCTAGGACACTTGAGACGGTTCGAGTTTACCTTCGGCTGTCACCTTCTTGGCAACAATTCGGACGGCCAGAGGCAGCAGGACAGCGTATTCGGCACAGGAGGCAAGCTACTCGAGTCGCTAAAGCGCCTCATGTGTTGCTTCACGGGACTGCGTCACCTGGCTCTCACCGACTTGCTTCTGGAGCCCCATGAGGCGAAGTTCCTCCTCGACGATGTTGCCGAGACGTGCATGACGACGCTGCGCACGCTGAGGCTTGTCAACTGTTCCAAGGAGCCACACCCGTTCCTGCACGCCGGAGTGTTCCTCAACCTAACCGCGCTCTACATCTCGCCGCAGCACCTGGACGATGACCTGGTGACCCTGCTGAGCTACACATCTCTTCGAGACCTGCACCTGATCCAGACGACGTACACGGAGATGGGACTCCGCGTGTCGCCCCGCGTTTGGAGGGAGTGCCGGAGGGCGGCACCCAGGCTCCGGGTCCACCTCTCCGTTGAGGGTACAGTAGACAAGGAGGTAAGCGCACGTGAGACCCTCTCTTTTTTAGAAGCGAAGCTCCATAGGCCCGCACGATGTCCGTTGGCGCTGTGGTTATCGTAGCTTCCCGTCGGAACGAAACAAGGGTATTAAATATACGGTGACACCATACATCGAGCATTCATACCGTGTATATGGTGTAAAAATAGATCGCATACTCTGTTCGTCCCACCATCCGTCCGTGCATGCGTCTTCCGTCCATTTATGTGTCTGTCATTTATACTAGTCGGTGACTTCAACAGACATTATGAACCTTAGGACCTAGCTTAGCTATGTTCAGCATTCACTTCATGGATCAGCAGTGACGTTTTTCGTTTTAATAAAAAAAAGTCATAGCTTTGCCGCAAAAGCGAAACAATGAACGCGATGTGAACAAATTGGAAGGTCACACGCTGAATGGCAAGCAGATCGAAACGTGCCCCGCGTTTCTCAGACACAAATGATGCACGAAACGTACTCACAGGTACATATAAACGCGAATAAGCATTTCAGTTGTTACATTGCTGTGTCTAAAAAGCGCGCCCTTTTCGCAAACGGAGACCGTGAAACGATGGCAGTGACCGTTGTGCGCCTGGTAACTACAACAGAATCGTTCCGGTCAAATCCCAAGGCCAGTAAGACGTACGATCTTCGCCACCGCGAGATAAGCGCGCGCGAGCAAGCGTCTGCTTCCATCCTCTCCGCGGGGCAAGGTACGCGTGGGAGATGAGAGCGCGCGCCGCCGCGTCGTGACGATGTAGTGACGCGTGCTGATTGTGCCATCTTGCTGGTAATTCTGAAAACACGATAGTTCCCCTCGAGATGCCCGTCAACGACTGTAATTGGTAGATATAAATGGCTTGCCGTTTGAACGCTGACGGGCATGCCTCTCCGTGGCTAAATAGTTATTAATGCCTCGAACTCGTGTTTCAGAGGTCTCAAGTTCAATTCCGTGCGCCGTCTTTTTCTGGATTATTTTTCTTTCTTGCGTTTACACACACACACACGCGCGCACACACACACACACACACACACACACACACACATACATATATATATATATATATATATATATATATATATATATATATATATATATATATATATACACATACGGAGAGTGACGCGGTGAAATCTACCCGAGAGAGAGTGTCTATATAATTGCTCTCGCAATAAAAATCGAATGAGTTGCCGCCATTACGCGGCGCTGGCCTTAGAGCTTCCTAATATACACTAGAGAGAACTCTTGCGCTAGTGTCTACCGGAGCTGCAACACACGGCGCTTCAGTGAGCATGGGAATGATGGGTAGTACACACATTTGTCTAATCTTCGTACCTCTGGCCTGCTTCTGGCTCCGTGTGTGTTCGGGTTGCTTGGAGCTGTTTTCTCACGAAACAAAAAATCAGAAAATGTTCAGTGGTTGTGCTTCACCACCTTATTTTTTCAAAGCTTACCTTTTCAAATCAGGTCACGCAGTTCAAAAGGGTTCGTTCTTTTCTTTGAAACGAAACCGTAACCCGCAATAAATGAAGTCGCAAGTACGATTCACCACCCGCAAGTACGAAAACTAGACAAATGTGTGTACTACCCATCATTCCCTGGGTCGCTGCACGATCGCAGCACCAGAGTCCCCTCTAGTTAATTTTACGAAACTCTATGGCGCCGGCTACTCCTTCGCACTTCATGACCATGAAATAAAAAAAAATTAAGAAACACCATAACATTGCATGTATCATACATAGGTCGGCAAAACTTGTAGAGCTCCCTCGTACTCACTCAAGAAATTCATTTTGCGCTCTGGACTCACTCGGACTCAGACTCGCCAAACCTTTTCTCAGTCGGACTCACACTCGCGAAAATTTTCTTGTACGTTACTCACTCGGACTCAAAACTCGCCAAAACATTACTTACCCAGGCTCATTCAGTTTCGTGGCTTGGTCTGAGTGTGAATGAGTCCAAGTGAGTTGACTGACGAGTCGGTCCGCCTAGAATTAGCTTTGTCGACCAAGGTGTAAATGCTCTTTAACACCAATATCTCAAGTAATTCACGCTCTTCTTGGCGCTGTTTGATATAGTACTTTGGGATGCCAGTTATTAGCGCTCGCAAACCAGATAGGTTATTTTTCTTGGAAGAGGTGACTACATCAGACATATTTATCAAGAACTTCCCTAGAAGATTTGGCGGTGGAGGGGGCACGCCAAAGCAGCCCCCTACGTAATTCACGCCCCTGACAAATAATAAATTATAGTGTATGAATGACACTGCTTTCGAATACGTGTCAATAGACGTGAGTGTAAATGTTAATCTATCTAAGGCTTATAGTAATGCTAAGGATGAGTATATATGACCATAGGTCGGCAAAAGAATGTTAAATTCACTCAGACTCAATCAAGAAATATATTTTGCGCTTCGGACTCAGGCTGAGCGAAATTTTTCTGTGTCAAACTAACTTAAACTCTCACTCACAAAAATTTTCTTCAAAGGGGTTCGCACTCAGGCTCGCCAAAATATTGCTTACGCAGACTCACTCAGACTCATGGCTTGGTCTGAGTCTGCGTGAGTTCACCGACTTATGCATACACATCATATGTTTGAACGTTCACGACAGTCGTCACTGCGCTCGGGCTCGCTGCGTTTGAAACAGCCCTTTCGGGAATAGTGGGAGTTCTCGGGGTTTGTGTAATACCAGAGTCCTTCAATAATACTTTACTGGTCATGAAGAGTCGGCGAAAGTTTGATGTAGGGACAGGAGCGACCAGCAGGGTCTCTCTCGCCGACACGCACGGGGACATCGAAGTGGTCTCTGCGCTGCAATGTTGGAACTGTGAAACGTGATTAAGTGTATCCATGAAGTTTGATTACATCTTCAGAGCGATGTTACCTTCAAGAAAATTTGGGGAAGCTTGAATACAGAAAAAACTACCTTCGAATGGGGCCTTGAAGCTAGAAATTCCATGGCGACAAACGTGTGCTGCTTCTGCTGTGAGATATGATACCACGATGCTTCATTTTTATTTTTATGAAACATGTATTGAATATATGAAGACAATCCTCAGTTCTTGAAGGACTCTGGTGAATCTTAACGCGTCACAAAAGTGCAGTGGTTGCAACTTTTGACAGCACATATTCAATCCTTTAGGTTACATATACATTCGGTGTTTATATACGAAGATATCTTAAAGTAGCCCCGTATTTATCAAACCAACAGCCAGTTTGAATGAATCGGTGCTTCGAATTGGGCAATTGACGACGATCAAGCAATACTTCTTACGGCTTTTGCCTGGTTTTCATGTTTTGTTTTGCATTTATTCATCTCTACCGTGCCGAAGTGCGTGTGAAGTTCGGTTGGTCATGTGATGCAGTTTCCCGTTCCTTTACACTGCTGTGTTGCTTACTCATGCTGTGTTTTCCTTTACCTTTATTGTTTTTACTGTAAAGGCGAAAGCCTTAAATGCCTCATTAAACGTAAAAATTGATCGAATGCGTCTCGCGCTGGCAGCGTCAACATGTGGCGCAAAAAATTACCCTTTCGTTCTCATGACTAATTGATATCGGAAATTCACGTTTCACGCTTTTACAGCTTGCGCAAGTTTTGTACAGTTTTTTTGTGTATTCAAAGGACCGGATATGTGCATTGAATTTTTAGGAGCTGCACGTAGCTCCGTCTGTTAGGATATATCTCCTCTACACTTCTGGTCGTCTCAGTGCCTGTTTAAAAGAAAATGCCGGGCACTTCACTCATCGAACTTCTGTATTACTGGCACGCAACGAAGAAGAAGCGGTCAGTATGCGCACCTTGCGTCATTATCTGCTGCAGCTGCGTCATAGAGGCCCGTGCACAGTGTCGGTGCAGACGCTTCATAGATGGGCGAGCTATGCACTTTTTCAACTAGAAAAATACGCCGGGATGCCGTAAAAATCCTCAGCACAGCGTCTGGCAAACGTTTTAGAACATCGTGTGGCGTTTTCACAACTACTTTTCTGATTAGTCACAGGTTAATGCAAAAGATGTCACTCTCTTCGAAGCGTTTTTCGCACACATGCGCTTGCGGCGAATCAAATGTGAAACCACCAGTTTGTAGTCACTTCCTAGGCTTGTGCGAATATTCGAATGCTTCGAATATTCAAAAGATGATGTAGTATTTGAATTCGCTTCGAGTGTAATTTAAAATATTGAGAATGTCGAATTATTCAAAACGAATAGGCGCATATTAACCCGCATGTAACGCTTTGTAAAAATGGTTTCACTGCAGTGTAGGGATGCTAAACCAGAAAACACCTGTCCAAACCGTATTAGTTTGCATGTAAAAATAGTTTCACTGCAGTAAAGTTGTGCTAAACAGTCGAAACACGTATTCAGGAGAAATACGCACTTCAGCGAAGCCCCAAATCAAGGTTTTAAGGAATTACCCTCACATTCATTCTGTTTTTCTCTTTATTTTGGGGTCACTTTAAAAGCTTGTTATACCAACTTATAAGCCCTAAGTATAGCAAATTTTAAAACGTAGCATGTTTTACTGTTTCTCACTGAGACTGTACCGAAAGGCAAATTCTTCTACTATTCAAAGTTGTTACCACTTTCTTTAATGCAAAAAAAGGTCTTCGCACAGTCTTTCTTTCAATTAAAAAAATATCGTGCAGGTTGGCTTGGTCATGACAAATATGTGCCTTTTTATTTATAAGATATATTATTATGTTACATATACATACCATTGCAATTTGGTTCGAAATTATTCGATCCAATCCACTATTCGCTTCGAACACAACTTTTACTATTTGCACAAGCTACTTTGATGAATTTCGCTGCCATGCAGATAATATGGCAAGACTGCGCGCCGGTGCACTCAATAATCTACAAGACTGCCTACAACCAGGTGGGGCCGGAGTCGGCACTGACGGCCGCCACGTACTATCCCGAAGACCTGAGGACGTATGCCTTTCTTGGGTTGCCGAGATTCCACATGGCGAAGCGCTTTGTCGACAGACCGGACTCTGCACTGGTAAGAGTCAACCACTTCTGACGCCAAGTTTTGGATAGGAGTAAGCGCCATGGGATTTTAAGAAGCGAATCGAATACTATTGGAATTGTTTTTGAATAGCAAGAGCACCATTGTCAATTTAGCCCTACACTAGTACGCCAACATTTGTTAAAACAGCCCGAGAATTCCACAACGTTTTCTTTTAAAAAATATTCGCAAGCTTTAAAGGGGCCCTGCAACAATTTTTGAGCATGGTCAGAAAACGCTGCCAATCTGTAGTATAGCCTCCCGGCAACACGTGAGCGAAGTATTATAGCACAGTATGCGGCCTGGAATTCGCAATAAATTATCAGTCAGCTAAAAATTGCTTTTTCTTCTCTCGACAAATGACAGAAGACGCTAAAAATCACTCGTAGCAAACCCATTTATCAGCCATTGGCTGATTTGAACATGGCGCGTTCGGTTGTTAGAGATCGCCCCGGGAGGCCACGACTTGCCCACATGTGCGCTCACGATCACAATGAGAAAGCCACGAATTAGAAGAAGAAAAAAGAAAAAGTGCTCAAGGTCTCGAGGCACGGGTGACGTACTTACTTTGCCCCCTGCAATTCTCGTAGCTGGCGCATATCCTGATGGAATGCTGTTTAGGTGCTTGACTATGACAACTGAAAACGTAGCACGTGGTCTTTCGAAGAGTAGAAGGGCCAAGTGGTGGTCGGGGACACGGCTAGCATGTCTAATGTGCGCTCTGAGGCAATCCACAACTCTATATGTCCTGACCGGATGGTCTTTGGCAAGCACGATTGTGGCATTAGTAGAAGCGCATCGGGGCAGTCCTAGGCAGATACGCAGCACCTGACCCTGCAAACTCTCCAATGAATGAGTATTTGATTTGCAAGTGTTCGTCAGTGCCGGCTTCTTGTGTATCAGTTTCTGTCGTTCCTTTCTCAAGTCTAGGTGAATTCGAGACCGTACCATTCTATGGTCACTGCATCGTACCTTGCCAACCACTTCCACATCCTGCACGATGCCTGGGTGTGCACCGTGCATAGATAGAAACCGACCTTAGCACAGAAACCATAGAAACCAACCTTAGCATAGATACAATGAATAACAATCTGACGAGTATCATTACGGCGTGTGCAGTTGAAGTTGGAAGCAGGGTAGTTAGAGAGGACACTGGCAAGCTTTCCCAGGAAACGAAGAATCTCATTAAGAAGCGTCAAATCATGAAAGTCTCAAGTACAACAGACAAAATAGAACTAGCAGAGCTTTCGAAGTTGATTAATAGGCGTAAGGTATACGACGTAAGAAGGTATAACATGGAGAGAATTGAACACGCTCTGAAAAACGGAGGAAGCATCAAAGCAGTGAAGAGAAAACTTGGGATAGGCAAAAATCAAATGTATGCCTTAAGGGACAAGGAAGGCAAAGTAACAACCAATATGAATAGGATAGTAAAATTAGCGGAGGAGTTTTACGAAGATCTGTACAGTAGCCAGCACAACCACGACTTTAATACTATAAGAACTAGCAGTAACCCAGATGACACCCCACCAGTAATGATAGAAGAAGTCAGAAAAGCTTTGGAGAGTATGCAAAGAGGCAAAGCTGCTGGTGAGGATCAGGTAACATCAGATCTGCTGAAAGATGGAGGACAGATTGTGTTAGAAAAACTAGCCACCCTGTTTACGAGGTGTCTCCTGACGGGAAGAGTACCAGAGTCTTGGAAGAACGCTAACATCATCTTAATACATAAGAAAGGAGATGACAAGGACTTGAAGAATTACAGGCCGATTAGCTTGCTCTCTGTAGTATACAAGCTATTTACAAAGGTAATTGCTAACAGAGTAAAGAAAACATTAGAATTCAATCAACCAAAGGAACAAGCAGGATTTCGAACAGGCTACTCAACAATCGACCACATTCATACTATCAATCAGGTGATAGAGAAATGCTCAGAATATAACCAACCACTATACATAGCCTTCATAGATTACGAGAAGGCGTTTGATTCAGTAGAAATATCAGCCGTCATGCAGACACTGCGGAATCAGGGCGTCGATGAAGTATATATAAACATCCTGGAAGAAATCTACACGGGATCAACTGCTATCATAGTGCTTCATAAAGAAAGCAACAGAATACCAATCAAGAAGGGTGTAAGGCAGGGGGACACAATCTCTCGAATGCTATTTACCGCGTGCTTACAGGAGGTTTTCAGAAGCCTAGAATGGGAACAGTTAGGGATAAGAATTAATGGAGAGTACCTTAGTAACCTGCACTTCGCCGACGACATTGCATTGCTGAGTAACTCAGGGGACGAATTGCAACTCATGATTACGGAGTTAGACAAGGAGAGCAAAAAGGTAGGTCTTAAAATGAATCTGCAGAAAACGAAAGTAATGTACAACAACCTCGGAAAAGAGCAGCACTTCAAGATAGATAATAGTGCACTTCAAGTTGTAAAAGACTATGTCTACTTAGGGCAGGTAATAACCGCGGAGCCGAACCACGTGATTGAAGTAACTAGAAGAATGAGAATGGGGTGGAGCACATTCGGCAAGCACTCTCAAATTATGACGGGTAGATTGCCACTATCCCTCAAGAGAAAGGTATATAACAGCTGTATCTTGCCAACACTTAGCTATGGAGCAGAAACCTGGAGATTTACAAAGAGGGTTCAGCTTAAATTGAGGACGAAGCAGCGAGCAATGGGAAGGAAAATGGTAGGTGTAACCTTAAGGGACAAGAAGAGAGCAGAGTGGATTACAGAACAAACTGGAGTTAAGGATATCATAGTTGAAATCAAGAGGAAGAAATGGACAAGGGCCAGGCATGTAGCGCGTAGACAGGATAACCGCTGGTCGTTAAGGGTAACTAACTGGATTCCCAGAGAAGGAAAGCGGGTTAGGGGGAGACAGAAGGTTAGGTGGGCAGATGAGATTAAGAAGTTTGCGGGTATAAATTGGCAGCAGCAAGCACAGGACCGGGTTAACTGGCGGAACATGAGAGAGGCCTTTGTCCTGCAGTGGACGTAGTCAGGCTGATGATGATGATGATGTCAGTGCCGGCAAGCTGTAGCGCAATAGACCCAGAAATAGGGCCCTGTACAACTGTAGCATGGAGGCCACAGAACTTCCCTTGCTTTCCCGCACATGAATTTCATTATATGCACAACAGGTAGATGTCTCTTCTTCAAGTACGCACAATGCGGGCTCCACGAAAGACAATTATTATGCCCAGGAAATGATAAATCCGTGCATATTTGACACTCTTTCCATTGATGTAAACATGGTATGGCGTCATTGGTTTGCGTGTAAACGCAATAAACGCGCACTTCACAGTTGATATAGTCCGGCCTTGTTTCTGAAGGTAGGCTGTTGTGAGGGTTGCTGCCCGCGGTATTCGTCCACGCACCTGAGGGTGAGTAACTGCAGCACTCCAGAGGCAAATATCATCGGCGTATATGGATAGGCACACCGACTTTGGCAGAACCTCCGCCAGACCAATGAGGGCAACATTGAACAAGGTGGGGCTTAAAACACCTCCCTGAGGTACTCAGTTGTATGTGTAATGTTCAGTTTTACCCTCATGTGTTTGCACACACACACACACAAAAACCTGACAGTTATATAGTCTTTTATCCATTGAAACATTCGTCCACCAATGCCCATTGCTGCGAGAGAAGTGAGGATGGCATCGTGAGCTATGATATCATATGTACCCTTCACGTCAAGAAAGAGTGCCACTGATATACGCTTGCGACTTTTTTCTTGCTGAACAAATGTCGATAAGTCAAGGACACAGTCAATGGAGGAGCGGCCTCGACGGAAGCCTGTCATGCAGGAAGGGTAGTTTGTGTATCGTTCCAAGTACCACTCGAAACGAAATAGAACCATTCATTCCATCACTTTTCTGAAGCAGCTTGCAAGGACAATAGGGCGATACGCTGTCAAGTCCAATGGTGATTTTCCCGATTTCAGAAGTGGTATTAATCGACTTATTTTCCATTCTCGGGGAACACTGCCGCTGAGCCAGGAGTTGTTGAAGCATGTTAAATATTCTCTTCTGGCTTTTTGTCCAAGATGTCCCAACGCACTATAAGTAATACTATCAGGACCTGGCGATGACGTGCGCTCAGAAGCGTCTAACGCATCTTCCAGTTCTTCCATGGTGAATGGAATGTCCATTTCTCGTAATCGAGTCTCAGGAACGATCACAACATCGATGCTTTCGTTCATAATGTTGTCACGGGGGTGAGAGAATGAATGAAATAAATATATTTACAAAATATGCAGGGAGAGTCGGAGGCAGCTGCAGCCAAGATGGAGGCCCAACAGCAACAACAACACGAGCACGGTCGCTTTCATCGTCTTCGTCGTCTATGATGCTCTTTCGTTGCCGATGTCGTGTAACATATAACCCCCCGCCACTGCAGCGCCGTCTCGGCGCCTAAAGGAGAGTAGGATCATATGCGGATATGTAGGGTTTGAGGTGGGTCACGTGGACGACGTCAGTAGTGGGTGCGGACGACGACGACTAACTGTCCAACAGAGCAATCTCGTATGCGACCTCGAAAAGCCGGCGTAAAACCTTGTAAGGCCCCGAGTAGCGAGACAGGAGCTTCGAAGAGAGGCCAACGTGGCGGCATGCATGGTGTCCAGAGGAGGACCAATGAACCTGGAGAGTAGGAAACTACTCTGTGATGGCTATCGTAGCGGGCCTTCTGAGAGAGCTGCGAGTCAAGAAGACGTTCCCATGCGATTTGGCGGGCCACTTGAGCCCGAGCAGTGGCTTCCCGGGCGTACTCTGTAACCGTATTTGTAGTTGATGGGAGAAGAGTCTCGAAGGGTAACGCTGGATGGTGGCCGAACAAGAAGGGAAAGATGCCAGCGGTGTCGTGTCGTGACGAATTGTACGCAAATGTCACATAAGGCAAAGTACTATCCCAATCAAGGTGATCTTTGAAAACGTACTAGAGAGCATTGTGGTCAATGTTATATTTAGGCGCTCGGTAA